AAGGTGGTGATTCCCTCCTGCACGTAAATCCTTATTGCCGAACCTGAGATAAGACGAAACCTCTAATTGCAAGCCAGTGCGCTGTCAAAGGGAATCAAGTTGAAATTTGTAGGTTCTTGGTCGAGAACGGAGACGGAGCTGATGTAGACGAGTTTAGTGGCCCTGATAATGGTGAGTTGCACCCACAACGAGTTTCCGTCATCATCCATTGACATTAGAGGAACATGCAGAGACGCCACTCGAATCCCGCATCACTCTTGACGTGGACATCGACTCTATAACGCGGGCCATAAGCAGGCAGATCAAAGAAGTCCTTCTCATCGCTGGAGCAGATCCATTCCTAACACTCGATGCCGGAATGAGGGTTCCAGCTATTGGAAAAGCTTGCTCGTGGAAGCATGATATCGTAAGTGCCCCGTAACACCGTGACTCAGCGAAGTCGCGACCAAGGTACTAAGACGACCCAGGAAGACATGCTGCTTATGTGGCGACTCGGCGGCCACTTTTACGACTCTTTGCCAGCGACGTGGCTCTGCCACAGCAATGTGACTAACCCTCCACTGTTCTGCGCAAACGCTGGACGTTTTGATGTTCGGGTCATGGAGTTGCTGTTTGGAGCTGAACTCAACGTTAGAGACACGCGGGGGAGGACGTACCTACACATCGCTATCCAGCCTACCAAGATGGATGAGGGTGAAACAAAAAACAATGACTGCGACACCGAGGGACTCCTGACTTAGAGGATGATGAACAAGCTCGAAGGGTTGGTGTGCCCGATCAAACGTGGGGCGGACCCTAGAACACTGGACTTCGAGGGCCGCTCACCCAGTGACGAGGCGTACACCTCGGGCCCAGGCGACTGGGAACTTGGCAGTTATAGGGGCGATATTTGGGATGCGGTTCTTGCAAAGTGCAACCTTGATATCTCAGAGTTTCGGAAAGGCTACCCGCGCAGCCCGGTCTAAACGCGTACATACACGCGCCAGCACTTCGAGAAATTGTGGGAAGGCTTCGAGGTTCGGTGCCCCTATTGGAACGACGCTGTCTTTTACGGAGCCGAGGACAGACTGCGGGGTTGGTTCGGGGTTCACAACGTGGAAGAAAGACACGAAGGGGAGTCGGACAGGCAGTACAAGAGGCGGGGAATGATATGGCAATGATTATGGAGAATGGAAAAACACAGATTTCTTCGCGATGCCGGAGAGGACAGGAGTGGTGATCGACCCGTCTGTAAGGCTGCTCTTTGTGTTGGACTTTGACGAAGCCAACCACCCGGACCAGATCATCAGCCAGGCAGATTATGCGGCCTCTAAGCAATGTCTGAGTCCATACACCCACAGAAGCAATGTAAAAGCACGGCGAAAAGCGACGTCGATGCTTCGTTCATTAGCATGATTTTGCCACTTGGCGTCGCTGTTTGATCGACAGCAAGTCATCTTGTCCCCGGCGGGTTGGACCAGGCAGCTTTGGGGTCCAGCCCCTGTACGGCTTTTTCTCCACGGCCGCGACTTCGTGTCCATTGTGATCGACCAGGTATGTTAATGTGACGAGCCGTCTAACCTATAAGGCTAAAGGGTTCTATAGGGTTTATGTTCTGAGGTAAGTCAACACAAAAGACGATAGAGGCTTCTGTCAACTAGAAGACACTCAGATGCTGGGGCTTGGTCTGAACGGGGTTCACTGAATAGTCGAGTCGTCAGGAGATTTCTCCCACCTTAGGGTTGGCTAAGATGCTTAGATTGATCACTGAGGTAGAGACTGTCTATCTGTTCTAGCTTAGGAAATGTCCATCCTTATAAATCCAATCTCTCCCACACTGATAGGTTGGATATGTGTGCTCTAACATATCTGGATATGCTGGATATGTATGATCCAACATATCTGGATATGCTGGATATGTATGATCCAACATATCCGACACGAACCCTGATCACGTGGCCTGTACTTCTCCGTGTGGTCCGTGCGTTCTCCCTGGTTCTTCCAGTTGCTGCCCGTCCTGTTGGGCCTGCCAGCGGGCCTGATCCTCTTGTACGTTCCGTTGGTTCGTAACAGTTAACTCTATCAAGTTATTTTGTTTTGTGACCACAGGTCATTCAGATATGGTGGGACCAGAGGTCCAGTAACAAGGAAGAAGAGTAAACAGTATAAAGGCCACACCCTCAAGCCTGAAACAGTAACTATGTGTTGGATATCATACGAGGCTTAAGCTTTTGGGGCTGAATGCGCTAATGGGCTTATACTTTCCGGACATTCAGATGGCGTCATTATCATATGATTATCTGGTCACCCTGATGGCACACCTGTACACATAGATGGGGGCTTCTCCCCCAGAGATCTTCTTCTCTTCTCTTCCCTTTGAATCTAGAACGGTTTGAAATCTCACACTATGATAACTCTATCAAGCGCTGCTCTCGCCACTTGGCGTAGTCTGACAGCTTCGAACCCATCATCTGCCGCGAAGTCTCGTTTGAAACAGGACTGCCTGCCGCGAAACCAGAAAGCAATAATTCCACTCAGTTCCGAATAATGGTATCGAAAGAACTCAGAAGTACCGTCTCATCTCAGGGCCCCACGCGGCCTCCAGGATGCCGCAATCAGAACAATGTTCCGATGCCAGCGGAAGCACATAAAGAACACACCCGTTAAGGCCTGTCTCATCATCACAGTTCTCGAAAAAAGACCCCCAAGAACCCATAATTCAGGCAGCTTTACCAGCCCAGTCAAACAGCTGCCTCACCGGTCTTCAAAGCCCACGCCCACGCCCATGAATATTATCATACATCGTTTGATCCGCGCAGGATCCGACACCCAGAACCGCGGTCGAGCGGAGAGCCACCGTCACCACGAAAATCAAGGATCAATGTCTGGGTGCCGAACAAGACTCGGTGCTACGGACAACGACCTTTTGCAAGGCCGGCCGGACCAACATACCCGCTCAAACCCTCATCTCTCAGGACTCTAGCCGCAGCGGAAAGCCGCTGGAGGAAAGAGTTACTGAGAGAGGAGAGCCAAGCGGTGATACCGTATCGCTTGGAGCGACACGGCTCGCCCTGAGACGGCGTTTGCCCTCCCTACTATTCGCACCAGACCTGTCTGGTGCGTATTCGGGCAGGCGGACGCAGGCGCCCGCGACCGCCCCACCGTCGATGCTGGATTTACGAGGCGATGGATGTCTCTTGAGCCTTGTACGACTTTTGAGACCCCCTGTGATAACTAAAGTACTGACATCGAAGGATCACAGCCTCAAGCTGTATGATAGATCATGGTGGTGGCCGACGCCGCGAGTTAAGGCACTCGAGCGGCGACGGTGGAGTGCGGTCTCTACTCCCCTCCGACGAGACCGGCTCCATGCTTGGCCCGACCCCAAGGACCACCTGTGTAGAGCCCCCAGTTCCCCAACCTTCCCCTCTGCTCAGCGGCGGCGCGCCTCCCAATCCTCAAGATGCACGACAGCCGAGACTGTCGCGCACCGAGCTTGGATGGCGCGACACGCGCTGCACCAGCAACCCCGTCGTGTGTGTCGGAGGACCACCACGACGGCCGACCAAGATCCGGACTCTTTTTCAAGAGGCCGCACCAGGAACGTAGAAAGGAACAGATTTTTTCACCTGTCGAAGTGAATCAGCCCCTGGTTGACGGCGGACTTGGGCCTGCGCCGCAGGAACGGTGTCCGCGCCCCGACCGGTGCTCACGTATTTGCACACGCAAGGAGAGCGGTCGGGGCGTGGCTGGCGAGGGCAACCCCTGCGCCAGGTCACCGCCGGTTGCTGGGTTTATGGGCGCGCAACAATATACCTAGAAAAGCTCGAAGAATCCGTTTGAAATGCGGAATGAGAGGCCTCGTGCGTCGGGGTCCGGGGCACGCCCACAGGAGCCAAATACGAACACTTTGAGAGAGTCATGGAGAAAAGAAGAAGAGGGAGAATGACGGCAAGGCACTTTGAAGGTAGGGATCTTTATGGCTGCTTTATCTGAGAAAGTTTTCGCTGTGCGCGAGTTTCTGACTTGAATAATGTGACCTACCTATCAAAGGTGTGGATTCAGGGGACTGGTTAAACTTAAAACCTCCTTCACTTGTGACTCAGACATCGCTCCGCCGCCAACTCTCAAGGTACTCGTTAGGTAGCAAAGCACACGTAAAAGGATACAAAGTGCAGCGTGCACCTTCCTCGAGATGGTATGCATTGGAATCATCAGGGTCCCCGCAGGCTTTGACGCTACTATGCAGAATCTCGAAGTTCAGTACACCCAGCCCTCCTAAGTCTCCGTACGCTCATATTGATAAGATTCCATACCTTATTAACCATGGGAGATTTTTAAACCCCGGAATAAGCATACAGGAATAAGGAGCTCTGGTTTGATACGTCACTCTTAATGCTTATTCCAGTTTGCTTATTCCAATTAGGTGAATTTACCGTTGGAGACTTAGGAGGGTCCGGTGTATCAGTGTCATGAGTGGCCTTCAGGTTGAGGGAGAATGAACATAGAGTTAAGCCAAGGTCTTGGAGCAGTAACAACCAACTCATGGACAGAAAGTGCGCCCATACCGTCCTACACTGCCTGCCCTGTAATAGCTCAAAGCTGAGGTCGCCGTTCACTCCGAAATAAGCACTGGACTGCGCATAATCCTCTTGCTGGTGGTTATTCTACCTGCTTATACGATTTCCTAAAATCGGGGAGAGTCAACAAAACGCCCTGCCATAGGTCTTCCCTTTGCTCCCCTACTCTTCGACTCGCTCTTGAGTCTTGTGCCGGAGAGGTATCTCCCTGCTCCTTCCCCTGTGAACCTTGAGGTCTCTGCAACTCGCACTCTGGGTAATTCCGCCTCCACTTGCACGCAAGCACCCGAATTCCTGTCACGGCATGTTCACTAATGTATCAATCAGGATATCGAACATTTTCATCATTGATACGAACTTCCCGTGATCCCAGCTCTCGCCACACCTGCCCACGCGGAAGTCAGTCCGCCTACTGTCAAGCCCTGCGACGACGACAACAAGATGAGCCGCAAGAGGAGTACCTGCGAGGTCGGCTCGGACATGGAGGGTTCGACTAAATCCCGAAAACTGAACGGGTCGCCTGACTGGCACCCCCCCTTATCCTTATCACGCCTACATGTAACCATCAATGACTCTGACGATGGCTTTGACGACAACGCGCCAGGCCAACCCGCTGGGAACCAGTCACCCTTGCACCAGACAGAGAGCAACCAGACGAATGGTACAGACGCGATGTCTTTAGACGGTGACCATACAGAGGACGACTCGACGAATGGTACAGACGCAATATCGATTGACGGCGACCCTACAAGTGACGAACAACAAACAATAACCAATCATCGCTACTTTCAGGTGGTCGTATACGGGGGGTCCGAACGCTGGTCTGTACTCTACGACAGACAACAGCGGCAGGCGGCAATTAACATGGGCTTGAATGCCAATCGAAGCCGAAGAGTCGACCGGGTGGCCAGAACAGAGAGGACCTTCGCCTACCTCCTATCGAACAGGAGGGGCATGGCGACGTCTGACCTTACGTTCACGGAACTTACCTTTAAGCAACGTATCGCCATCATGTTGCAACTCAACCGGCCAAACGGTGGCCAACGAGTTTCGGGCAACCCGCAGCAGTCGATTGGACAGGCTACCGGCATCACTCGATGGCCGGATCTGAGGGCAAGCACCGACAGCGGCGCCGAGTATCTGGGCACGCAGCACTCCATGTCGATCCTGTTACGGAGTCCCGTCGCGACAGACATAACATATATGCGCTTGCGTCCCTGGATCAAAAGGGATTTGTACGACTTATTGGGCGTCTTCCGCCCCTGGATCTGCTACGGTACCGGGGCTCCAGTGACGCACGCCGATTTCCTGTACCTTGTGCGAACTGCCCCCAGAGACTACGAAGACGTTGTTGAGAATGCCACCGAGCTCATCTTTTCCCTGTGGGGGCAAGAGGAGAGTGGCGTGATGTTCGCTGACGAGGGTTCCAACGACAGCGAGAATGGCGGTGGCATACTCGATGGCGACAATTGGGGTTGGGACCCGTCAGGTAGCGAAGCGTCCAGTGACTAGGATTCCGATGACGATGAGCAGCGTGTCTTCTTATGGTATGGCCACACACGTAATGTTTCTTTTGTCTTGGCCTACATAATGTCGGCATGATAGCCTCAGATGGGGACAGGTCAACAGCGTTCCCAAGTATTGATTTTGGATATTCAACTCAGCGGCCCACCCTGTGCTTTGGGATGGTCCAGAAGATGATTTCGTATAAGCAGACAGGAATAAGCAACTCATAGCTATAAATTCATCTTCAATGCTTATTCCAGCGTGCTTATTTCATTTTATGATGAACGCGCCTATCGCTTGGTGGATGAGGGGTGTAGGTACGGAGACCCATGAGGGTTCAGTATAGCGGTGGAAGGACAGCGTTATCAAGCTGCCGGACCATAGCCCTACCTAGAGTAGACATGGACAGAGAACCAGCTCCCCTGGGCTGCCGCGCCAAAGGACCCGAGTGTACGTACTTATCAGTCCAGAATCGGCCGTCAATCGCAGGGTTTTGCTCTCGGTTAGAAAGAACTGTAGAACAACATTCACGAGCAAACCCGCGGCCGTCAACAGCAGCAAAAGGCATGAGACTCCCCTGTTTGATGTTGAGACCGACCGGGGCAGCAGTAAGTTACTGGCAGATACCGAACGAGAACGGGCAGTTGTTGACTCGACAGGCAGTTAGTCTGCGCAGCTACGCAGTCAGCTCCGGTGTGGGTTGACCGTGCGGAGATCAGCAAAGGGGCAGAGATATGTGAGTATATAGAGAGAGGTACCTAGCCAAGAAAATGGCCGTAAAGCAGTGAAGCAGTAAATTAGCCTGCTAAGAGCAAGAGTTGGTTTCAACACATTCTAACGTAGAGGCGAAGAAGAAGAAAATGAGGTCAGCCAGCCGCGAGGAGCCTCTATATAAGTTTATGGGTAGTAGACCAGTAACTTGGATAGAAGTATCCAGATATCACTAATACAGCCGATGCGCTTTCCGTCGCAAGTCTCCAGCATTCAGGGGTAGGGTAAGGTTTGGCACGAAAGCCAACTTTGCACAGAGCCGCATTTTCGTAGACCCGACTGCAACGACCGACCACACCAAGTAAATATTCTACAACAATTTTGGTACGTGTACAAATCCATTGTCTACAAGCTCTTGTAACAGTGAAATACATGAAAGAGATAGAGTACCCCAGACGAAAGTCAGTGCCCTTCCACAGAGGTTCGTGTGATGTAATGGCGCAGGTCAGACTTCCACCAGCCGCACACAGTCTAGCATTTGAAATCAATCAGTCGCAGGATAGCCAGGACCTCGAAATAAGCAATCATCCTTCATCCCTTCATCCGCTGCAGACGCTTCTGTCGATTGTATAATATGACTCGCTCCCCGTCCACGAGGTATCATGATGCGACCTGCCGTCTTCGGCGGCTCCACACCGGACGCACGCCGGACTGGTCCAATTGCAAAAGAACAGTTTCCAGACCACTCATTGGCCGGACAAGGCGCACAACAAATAAGGAAGCCAATACAATAAACCTTTCTATTGACAAGCACAAGTGCTGAGTGTTTAGCTCATTGGTGCAACGACCGCAAGGCCCGACATTCAGCGCTCATGCTTATCCCGGGTGCCTGTTAAAACCTCGGCCCGCTTAGCTCAGCGGTAGAGCGCCTCACTAGTAGCAAATATTATGTTTGGTTGATATGAGGAGGCAACTGGTTCGACTCCAGTAGTGGGCATAGTGTCTTTTTGCGGATGCCCCCTTTTTGGGGGTTTTGCATGCATGCGGGTTAGGGACGGCTGTCCCTGAGCGGTCGTGATCGTGAAGTGTGCAATGGTGGGCGACGAGTTTGGGCCGCCACGGAGTTACTGAGGAATCTAACTTTTTGCCAGCGACATTGTAATAAGATGGTAGGGGGCGAACCATCTGCTCGAGTGGTTGAAACGACAATTTGCCTAATCACATGCACTGAGCAAGTATTCCAGAGGCTAGTGTCCAGTCTAATCCGCGAGATACGTGTCGTCACTGTATATTGAGCCGTTGGTGAGAGGTAGCGTCAGCAGGGTGCTTCTTGTTTTTCGCAAGGTGGATAACGAGACACTTGCCTGGCATCCCATCGTGTACCGGCAGAGTAAAGCTAGTTCTGTTGATCAATATGGTCGGTGATTGATGATATGCTATTGCCTAGCCGGCATATGGTCCCTATAGTAGAAAACGGCGCTCCAGGGTCGGTATGAGAAACACGACAGGGCTCATGGCGAGAACCGTCCAGCGTTTCCGCAGTGGTCCAAAACATTCAGGATTATGAGATTCCTGTGAGGCCTCCTTCACGTCCTGCTCTCGTTGTCCTTCGGAAAGTAGCTGCACCGCCGATCCCACTTGGAATTGGGCATGAGACAAGGTGAAGTTGGAGAACAACTCCTAGCCCAACCTCGAGGTTCGCCCCCTAATTGCGATCAGCCGATACCGGCAAACTTGTGTCATTCTTCGCGAGTGATTTGTCGGATGACTCCAAACATCTCGCAGGCGGAGCATGTTTCGTTTTGGAATGAAGTACCATCAGCGTCTTAGTAGGTAGCGCCCGGCGGCAAAAAGGCGCAGCGTCCACGGCCCCGTGGAAGGCGGTGAGCGATACGATGAACAGTTGAGACAATATAATGCGTGTGATTCGAGCTCATGGTACTGCGTCGCGATGTCCAGAGGATGTCGAAAATAGGGGTAACGCCAGAACGAAGGAGCGACGCAGCCCTCGGGTTCCTATCTGATTGGACAGTAAACGGGCGAGAACAGTTCACAAGGCCAGGGAAGGGAGTCGAGAATGAGAATCTGTGAGATCCGCTGCCCTGAAGGCGCTTAGAAGAGATATAGATTATCAATATCCATCTCCGCGGCTTCGAAGTAGCCCTGAAGTGCTCCTCCGACGTCAAATTCAGGACGTGACGTTCCAATAAACACTCTGCAGCCGGCAAGGGGCTGCAGAATGCGAGTATATCTTATTTTAGTAACCTCCCTAAAAATAACCAGGGAGATCTCTGTGTACCCGGTGCAGCGCAAGGCACGTCAGAGCGGATCTGGAGGCTGGCCCACGGATCTGTCGGCCTGGGGGCTCGACATGGTGCCCGTCCCCCGCGGCTCTTCAGGCACGTAGACCAATGACAGCGAGGTGATAGAGACTCACGCACGTGCATAGTACAGTACACCAGGACTGTTGGAGGTTTCGCGTCCACGAGCAGCCCAGGGTCGTGGTACTCGGAGTGGGCACGGTGAACCCTTCATAATACGTCGCCCTGATTGCCACGATGACTTTAGAGATGGACCGTCGACGAATGGGAGACGTCCCTGAAGGCGAGAAGGGCGCTTCTGGAAGCTCCAAAGCGCAACATAGCAGCCTGTAGCGCTTCGCCGAGGCACCTCTGCGTGGTTGGCGATAGCCTCGCAGAGACTGGGCGGCAGCGAGACGCCCATCTGCAACTACCCAAGCCTGGGGCACATGGCAGGTACCAACCAGACGGCGACAAGGGGCCCAGGGTTGCGCCGGTGCCTTGCAGAAGAACCGCTCGTGTGGCACTCGGGATGTAGAGGCGCGGGATGCACGCTCGTGGCATGCAAGTGTTGTCGTCGTGGGTTGGACGGAAATAGCCCTAGGCGCCCAGCGAACGAGTCGAGACCATAAGACTGGCGGCAACAGTGACGTCGGCGTGGTTCAATGTTCAGTCGCGCGCGTGGGCTCAGAACATTGAAGTGTTCTAGAAGGCGCTTGGGCGACGGACCACACCTGGGGATGGCAGGGCGCTTAAGTGTCCGTCGGCGGGCGGCTACCCGCGACTGACGATCCGTCATTGGACGTCACTTCACGACACACTGCTATCGTCAGTTGGACGGGCGCTTTCTGAGCTGTGGGATATTTTTGGAACTCCATACCTGCATGATAGAGGGCGGTAACGTACAGCAACAGTACATATGGAGAAGAATATGAGCAGACCTAAATATCACCTTTGTTGTTTACTGTTGATGTTTTGAGGCTCGAGAAGAAAGGGCGACTGTCCATGCAGCCCATGTTGTTTTGGTCGGCCCAGCTTAGTGGCCGAGTCGACTTACAGGGGGTTTGAAGCGCGGATAGGGGACAAAGTCCACTATGGCGCGGTTGAGTTTAGCGCATTTGGGGCGCCGGCTCTGGTGTGGGTGTACCTATAGTGGGGCACCTAGAGCTCTCACATGCAAACCATCTATCCAGTCGTTGTCTTCTTCTCACAGAGATCATGCAGCGTCGGCCGCCTACATTACTTGACGCGAGGCACTCCAGCCGGCACTTCAGTCTCGATTCATGAGGCTTCCAGTCAAGATGCGACAACGTTATCCACCCAGTTTGGCTCCTTCTGGTGCTTGTTTGCATGCCATTTCTACATGCCTTGTCAATCAATCGCCGCTTGGGTTGGGCAACTTCGTCTGAAAGTCTCGCATGGCACCAGAACACCCCCGTCAGTGATGCCTGCCGTTCTCGCCAAATCACGGCGATCCCGTCAGCCAACTTAAGCTGCGTATCCGGGCGCATGGATAGGCAACAGGATGGGACGAAGGATCATGAGAATCTCCACTTTCGACTTCTACCCTAGGGAGCCCGACCGGAGAGGCATCGCGGGCAAATTTCATCACAGCGAGGAACCTCTTCCTGAGAGAGCAAACAATTGCTCGAGCCATCGACCAACAACATCAACTCTGTCGAGCTGCTTAACAAGGGCGTTGTTGGTGATGGCATTGCCATCGGATACCTATGGTGTCCCAACACTGAACAGCCACCCTCCTCCACGCATCCCCGTCCCTCACGCCTCTTCGCTTCTCGTTCCACTCAATCGAGCTCACCGACTGCATGGTGAGCCGTCCTTGGTCGCTCCAGTGCCACTGCATTGGTAACAAATCACCCACCAACATTCACTACCCAAGGGGAAGTCCCGCCGAATCAGGTTGTCCTTGATACCGACGAACGACCAACACGGCAGCGTGATTGATCCGGGGAACTGTTCCCTTTCCTTGTTACTCGCTACAGGCTCTTCACCTGGGTGTCTGCAAACGTGCCATGCGTAACGCGTTCCCGAGAACAGTGAATCCTCCGCGGACCCCTCTCGTCCCAACCGGCTGGGCCGGTTCTTTTGTCAAATCCCAGCTGCCTGGCCCGGACCGAGAGGAGAGGCTGACAGGAAAGCGAAGCCACTGTCCCTTGCTTGACCTGACGATGCGAGCATGACAAGACTGAAATTTGTATATGTACCAAGGCAAGGTACTACCTACAGGTATGCGATGGTACAAGCGACTCAAGTCACCGTCCTCTCGTCTACTGTGCACGCGTGCGTGCCTGACTGCAGAACGGCGGCTGTTGGGTAAGGGTTTGACACACAGCAGCCAAGGGTCCAATAACATAACAACGGCCCTTTTGCCGCTTTGACTCAGTCAGCTGTGTCACTTGTTGCCTTTTGCGGTAAAGTCGAGCACTTCTGCCGCCCATCATTTGCCTCAAAGTCGCATCGCCGAGTCTCCCCAGGACAGTTCACTTCTGCCAACTGCCAGACTATCAACCCTACGTAGCAGGGTCGACGACACCATGCTAAGGGTACTGAGCGAATGTAGGAAGTAAAATAAGACGGCATGCATGAAGACCCGACGCATCGGACAGAGCTGCTGGCGCAGCACAACGTCCTTCACCGACTAAATGACAGAACTGCGTACCCTCAAGAACGACTTACCCACAGAACGAGGCAAACAGTTGGTCTCCGTCTACGAGGCTGAAGCGCCCCCAACGTCTTTGACCGAATTTCTATGCCCCAGCCCAGGAGGCAAGTATGGATTCCCTTTGGAGGATAGTTAGGGATGGTTTGAGAGATCAGAACCTCCAGAATGATGCAGATCGGTCTCGGTGAGAGACAGGTTGTTGTTGATTTCGGCCTCATTACGACCCCCGGCGCCCTGCCCTCGCTGACCGTCGGCCTGAACCAGCATAGTACCTGACTACATCACAACTCTGCCACGTAACAAAGTGAATCATAATTTGCCCGTTTATTCCAGGCGCGCTTGACTACCTCCTTATAAGCAAAAACGGTGCTTACTACTTATTCACTGAGGGGTAACAACGAAGCCTTGTCGAATGATGCAAGACGCAGCATTACCTAGGGTAGCCGCATGGCTCTTCTGCCCTTATGCACGCTTTATGCCTGAGGTTTCCGAAGGTGATTTTTGTCCCGGAGCCAGATGTGCTATCATGCAAGAGCCACTTTGTAGCTAATCACAGCGCCAGTTTTCGGCAGGGTTTTGCCGTGCGGGGAGAGGGAAAGGGGAAGGGAACGTGCTACTAACCGACCAATTAGATCGCTAGGTTTGGCATATCTGTCAGTGGTCTCTTTTCTTGCGACCATCGCACTAGTTACTGCGACCACGCACGAGCTACTTTAATGCCCGCAGGAGCCCCTAGGGTAGCCGGGAAGACATTTTGACACCTGGCGCGGGTACCGCCCGCCACGAGCAAGCCGAAGCCGACGGGTGCCGGCCGCGCGGCAACTGCTAGCAGCTGACGGTCAGGTCACTGCTGACGGTTAGGGGTCAGGTCATTGTCGATAATTACGCGGAAACGTCAGGTATTTGCAAGCGCGAGCGCAGCCTCAATCACAATTGTCGAAGACATGTATCGTGTCTGCCCTATCGGCGATCAGGGTGCCTCCGTTCGACAAAAGCGATGCGTTTTCCGGCCATGTCTAAGAAAAGAACACTGACTGGTTTCACCCCTAGATGCGGTTGACCCAAACGTCACCCGTCCGAAGTTCTCATTTCCCCCGGTCCCTGGCCATAGGCTGGAGGCCTGCCAGCGCGCGGCCAATTGACAACGACAGCCCGCTTAAGCAGCGATCACGTCCGCTCGAGTGGCGGCAAAGAAATATCCGAGGGTGGACTCGGGCGACCTGCGACAAGCACTTTGCGTTTGCCCTCGCGCCGTACATCTGCGCCGGCGGAGGGCTCAGAAACGCTTGCCGCACCAAGCCCCGAGGCACGACTTGCTACAGGTGCCTAGAAATACATGATACCCTACAGGACATGAAGCCACGGGCCTTTCATGGGTTGCATCGCCAAAAATATCCCCTCTTCGGGTAACTCTCCCGTGCCTCTGCATGGGTCGCATGTTGGTCCGAAGCTCGCAAAGAGCGTGCTTCGTACGGGGTTTATCGAGAGAGGACAGATGATACAACCAGCGTTGAACGCCCTGGTCCAAGCGAGATGCCGGTTGATAGAAGCAGGAACACACACCTAGGAAAGCGTGCATGCAAGAACCCCTTGCTGGAGAAAGCTCTGGACCAGAAAGACGGGCGTTGGAACCAACCAACCCACCCACCTGTGCGGCAGCCGGATCTGCTGTGTTGCAGTACCTACAGCCACAGATCTGAAGGGAGGGTGTCTTCATAAAAATCTGCCTATATGGAGGATTGCGACAAGTCATTTTCTATACATCGACAGCTATTTCATGGGCACCCAGGAGGTAGCTCGCGAACCCAAGGGACGCGAAATGTGGCCTGCGCTCTCGACATGGGGCAATATTTCGTGTTGCAGCCTGCACTGCCGCCGCACTGGTTTGGCATCGGCAAGTGATACTCGAGCCGATCCAACGCTGCGGGCACTTTTTGAGGCCCACCTATCATCTATGCATTGCGTGTGTATGTTGTGCTGCCTCCCGACGTTCGACCAGAAGAAGTCAGATGGAGGCACGGCACATCTGCCTACATCTGCCCTCGACGGGCAACACGAGAGATTTGTGACGAGTGGGTAGGTACATGCGTTAGCTGCGAGCCCACTTCTCTGTCGCCGGCTGTCTAGACGCGGATGCTCCATCAGCGCATCCCTCGGCAGCCATGGACACTCGACATCACACGCCCGCGTCAAATTGCATGACAGCCGTACCCCTGTCTTCAGCCGCCGATTGGCCACGGACGGAGCAGAGCCCAGGCCAGGTTCTGATTCCCAACCTGCTCCGTCACCGCAGCGCAGCCGTCGGCAATGCGCACCAAGGCACTGGCAGGGTTGGGATCGCCTTTCGTTGGAGGGAGTGGAGGGGTCCTTGCTGGGAGATCTTGGCAGGAAGAAGAAGAAGGAGAAGAAGACTGGTAGAACTTCCAACTCGGTGACCCATGGACGAGGGCCCAAGTGGGATGCACCGGGGCTGACGTCGCCAATGAGCTGTGCCGCTCGAGCGCTTCCACCAAATCTAAAGGACCCCTCCACCTCAACCTCCCGAGATGCTCCCAATCGCACAGCATCTGCTGCACACCTCTCTGTCTGGACGAGTCACCAAGACTCAAGGTCAACGTCTATTTCTATTTTTGATCGCAACTCGTGTGTCACGGTCATGGGTTAGAGACGACGAGACCGCCCCGGCCGCATCAGCGGTCATTGTTGACTCGCCGCCCCGCGCCTCACATCAATCTCTCGTCGCCGTGGCATCGGGTCTGCTCCAAGATGGCCCTCAACAGAGAGTTTTCCTACGGGCCGAAAGAGCTGCACCTATCAGAGTTTACGTTGGAAGCAAGAGCAGGCACCAGCGAATCGGGCGGCACAGTAATTAAGACTGACGACCACTCCCGGTGCAACATTCGAGGGGGTTGGTGAAATTGGCATGGATGCACCATAGACGCAAGATTAGATCAAAGAAACGTCCCTCATCAGCGGCCGGCTGTCCTGTCCTGTCTTGGATCATGGGATACAATTGGACAGCAAACACGATGACGCTGTTGTTGAGACGAAAGGACCAGAGCGAGATCCTGCGCGGCTGGGGTTGAATAGTAGTATTCGTTCGCCAACCTCACTGCTAGTCGCAATCGGGTACATGATCCGGCGGTAGTGCAGCTGAGTATATCATACGCGCACACCTACATCCCGTCTGTACCTCGGCGGCTTGAGAAGACGTCGAGGCCAGAAGGTCTAGGACAAGCAAGAAGACACAAGGTTTCTCCATCCGAGTCGCCGGAATTGAACAGCTCGCATTTGAACCTGTCGAATGCCTACTTTGCTTAATGCTAGGCTCGGGGGTCTGTCTGATGGTGGTGTGTAGTATGTACTATGTCCGAATCCATACACTCGGCCGACCCGCCGCGGAACATGAGTGGTGGTGCGGAAAACACCCCCCTGCTCGCTCGAGTATCCTCCCGCCGCGTCTCGTCTCACACACTCGCTGGCGACTGGCGACTGGCGACTCTTAGGTGGTTGCCGGGATCATTCAAGAATCAAATGTACCTTGGCGACTTGTATCTTTCGCGGCACCTCCTCGAGCCCAGATGTACCCAAGCGCCATGCCGCCCAATACCGGGGCCATGATGCAGCATCTCCCAGGGCCCCATCGATCTCATCCCGTATGTACAAAAGTATGGAGGCACCCGCCGAGGCACTTTAGCTCCTGCGTGGTCTGGTCGTCTTGATCGTCTTTGCGTAACGGTTTATTTCGTTATTATCATTATTTTAATTGCTTGCTTTGCAGCTCTGAGCCTCATCGGGAATTTGGCTGGCTGACTGACAGACTGACAGACTGACAGACTGGTGAGTGAAGTAACTGACTGAGTGATCGACTATCACTGTATCACTCATCCCCAGATATCCTCGCTGCCTCTGGGCGCATCAGTTCCGCTCTGTGCCTCGCTGGCTGCCTAGCGGCGTCCGTCCCATGCCCCATCCCTCTGCTACGTCTATACCCATGCCCTGCTTTTCTCTTGCTGATTGATGCCAGTCCGCCGCAACGCCGCAAAAATCCTTCGTTCATTTTCACACCTCCCACTCACTCACTCCTCTCATATGCTGGCATGAGGATTCGCTACGTCAGTGCAAGATCGATTCGAGCAGCTTTATAGATCCAGGATCTGGCCCTCTTTCGCCAACGGACTTGCTTTGCTTGTAAAGAAGGCGCAACGGTTTGTTTCGGCAGGCGCAACAAGACAGGCAAGCGAAAGCAGCAAACAGACGATTAATCGCGCGTCAATTGTCCAAGCGCCGAGTCGTGTCATTTTGACGCAGCAAGCCAGCAAGCCAGCAAGCGACAGAGGCTTGAGGACATACCTAATAAGATACCTTATCCTACCTTACTTCAACATCGCAAGCAGAGATCGCCGAGGGAGCGCAGGAGACGAGGCTTGGTCCAACGAAGGGAGGGAAGACTCGTTATACCGGTACCCTTGACAGTTGATGAGTTGCACCTGCACTCTGCGCCGGGCCCCACGACACACAGCCGTCTTCACTGTAGACTCATCACGAACTACCTGCTTGACTTCCCAGTTTTCCGCGATCACAGTCGATATTCCGCGCCAACCCAACAACACCCCCGCGACTTCGCCCACTTCTCTCGGCGGCGACGACTCACTCACGCACTCATCCACTCACTCACTACTTTAGCAGGCATACGATTTGAGTGCTGGATGCAGGTTGGTCTTCCGTGCGTACACCGCAACGCCCACGCCAACGCCAACGCAACGCAACCTCGTTTCTGACCTGGCCTTGGCTGCCCTGGTGCCCTGGTGCCCTGGACGTCGTATCACGCTGCCGCAGGCTGGTCAAAAAGCGGCTCACACACGCCCGTTCTAATTTTCCCCCGCGCACCATCCGCTCTCACAAGCTTCATGCTGGTCCACCATCGCTTACAGCTGAACTTGTCCGTCGTTTCGCGCATTCGCATTGTCACAACTCGGCACCACTTCCACCCATCTAACTGAGGCCACGCACTTGTTTTCACTCGTTTTCCTTGGTCACCCAAGTCATTCGTAACGACCCTTTCCAAAGGGTTCGAATTTGGGGGCCGCGTGCAGTTATTTTGGCAGCGACTGTACTTCTCCTCTCACTTGCGCTGCCGCCGGGCCGAGGGATCTCGCTTAGGGTATTCCGGTAGCTGCTGCAATAGTGCGCCGTGCCCCGTGCAGCGAGCAAAGTAGCGACGCTCCAAGCGCTATAGCCGCCCACTAAACCCGCCGAGAGCGCGCCCTGTCATCTGCCGAGTGCCGGATGCCATCGATGCGAGGTTGTTCGAGCAGTTGATTTCACGCGACACGTGCTATTTCTGAATTCGCGCCTGCAATCGAGTTTCTATGCACTTGGCGACAGGCTGCTGGGACGAAGACTTCGTTGGACGAAACATGGCAAGCTTCACGGCCTTGAATGGGGCTGAACCGAAGGCCCCAGAGGTACCTGCCGGGAGCCCTCCGCCGAGACGCCTAGGCTCAGAGGAGCGCTCTGCTGGTCAACTACCTATAACGAGCCATGAGCCGAAGGCTGGAGAGCCCTCGTTGGCCCCTCAGCGAGAGCACTGGCCGGCACCGAGTGCGGATCGCCCTCCCTACCCATCCATCTCCATCAGCTATCATCCTGAAACTGAGGGAACACCACACAAGCGGAAAAGGTCCGACTCGTTCGAACATCAGCGGGAGTCATCGAGTGCGCGAGAAAGGGAGCAGCATCCCCAGGTGGAATCACGTGAGGCATATGCCACACCGCAGCGGGAACGGGATTACAGGCATTTTGGTGACGATAACCGGGAGCATCACGAGTCCTGGTATTCGCAACAGCAACATCGGGATGATCGGAGCCCGTACGAGGCGCGGAACTCGGCAGGATCGATGCCCGAGCAGACCGACGAGCAGATTGGGGATGCGCTTCGAAGGGCCACTAGCCACATGGACTCTCCACGCGAGTACTCTGCTATCAGTCCAGATGGCGATGACTCGGCCTTCTACAGTGGCTATACCCCGGAGCAAAGGAGGGATGCGGCCATCCAGTCGGACCCCAAGAAGCGGAAGCGCAACTTCAGTAACAGGACGAAAACCGGTATGTGTATGACAGGGACACACGCTTCAACCCTTCTTCCGACACGTACTGACTTCGCACAAGGTTGCTTGACGTGTCGGAAGCGGAAGAAGAAGTGCGACGAGACCAAGCCGGAATGTGAGCATATTCATATCTCCTCTTCAAACTAACCCACCTGTCCGAATTGTTTGACTGATTCTCGCCCAGGTACAAATTGTGTCCGTGGAGGATTCATATGTCAGGGATATCCCAACCAGCGCGGTTACCAGAAGATGGAGAGCAAGCCGGCCGCTGTTCCCCTGGAGTCGAAAGACCCAAGCTATATTCCACCCGGCGCTTATGGCATGCCACAGCCAAGCCACTTTCCCAACCCGGCAGCTGCGACTGCTCCTGCTTCAAAGCGGGACTCGGTGCCTCCGTATCGTGGCCAGCCTCTTCGTATAGAACCACCGCAGGGCCGAACTGTTCTGACGGACGATGACCGACTCACCGCATCGACCATCCCCACGGCTTCTGTTACGAGCCCGGAGAACAAGTTCTCTTCAATGTCGGCATACACAAACGCCGCAAACATGTTCCCAACACCAATAAGCGCTGTCAGCTCAAGTATACCTCCGATGAGTAGCGTCAGTGCAACAGCTATGCAACTGCAGACTCCTCTCACCGCCGTTGACCGGCCTAAAGAGTATGGGAGAGTCCCACCACTGCACGATCTCAGCCGGACAGATCCCGATACTCCACATTCGAGCTCGCTACCCCAGATCAATATCTTCCACCCGACTCGGACAACCAGCCCAACTTCCCAGCCGCCGCCACCGCCACCGACGACCACTCCGCAGGTAGCAGCTCAGCTCGCGCTGTCGCATACGCAGTACACCGCTAACAAGGCCAGGACGCAGAAGCAAGAGATGTTGCGTGGAAACCCATACTATCCCTTCGACCCGGAGCTGGTGGCGGAGCGCGAACGCTGCATGGCCTCGTGCTGGAAGTTCAATAACTCGACCAATCCCGCTACGGGCGTCTCGGCCGGCGAGCGAGCGCGCCTGTTCGAGAAGATCCTGAGCCCGCAGGAGCCCCTCAATATTTCGCCACAGCTGGTGTCGCCCGTGGCCAACATCGGCCGCGTAGGGACCGGCGCCGTGGTTGAAGCGCCATTCATGTGCGACTACGGCTACAACATCACCATCGGCAACTGCGTTTTCATCGGCCGGAACTGCACTATCATCGACCCAATGGAGATCAGCATTGGCGACAACTGCTATATCGGCCCCAATGTGAGTCTCTTTGGCGGCACGCTCTACACCGACCCGAAGAAGCGCCAGGGCAGCAAGAGCCCCCATCTCGGCGGGACGATCATCATCGACGATGATGTGTGGATTGGCGGCGGTGCCATCATCTTGCCCGGCCGCAAGGTCGGGAAGGGTGCTACTGTTGCCGCGGGTGCTGTTATTACGAGGGTACGTATACAATTTACCAACTGCTTCTTCATGTGGGACTCGATGCTGACCAGGTCTCCAGGATGTGCCGCCGTTTACCGTCGTGACGGGCAATCCGGCTCGCGTGAGTCGGGGCGCCAACAGCTCATGAAGCGCACCGGGAGGAGGAGGAGGGAAATCTGACATGCGTCGTTTTACTGTTTCATGTTGAGTTTTATACATTGTTCCTGATACCCAATAACATTTGTTTTATTGTTTCCCGACATCGTCGCTTTTGTTTTTCAGTCGCTGCGTCTGCACAGATATCCCGCGTATCGTCTATATCATGTTGCTGTTTCACTCTCACGTTATCGACACATAAGAACTTCGATGAGGCATCGTTTTCTCATAATGTTACGTTGCAAGATCGGAATGATGCGGAATATACGGATGGAAGGGGAGGGAAGGGAAGGGAAGGGAAGGGAAGAGAAGGGAAGGGAAGAGAAGGGAAGGGAAGGGAAGGGAAGGGAAGAGAAGGGAAGAGAAGGGAAGGGAAGAGAAGGGAAGGGAAGGGAAGGAAAGGGAAGGGCACGGGTATTTAGATATGAATGATGGAACTGGTTTCATGGACGGGCTGAACTGGACGAGACCTAAGTTGGACTGGACTGGAAAGGTCTGTCTGCACTGTCGTCTTCTCATCAGCCGGACTAGAGAACATCACACGCCGTCATCATCGTTGTCGTTCATGTTGTGGTTCTGTTATAGCGTGACTGTCGTGCGTCTTGCACATTAATCTTTGCATCGTCGCGTTGTCATATCTGGGGTTTGCGGCTGCGCCTCGCGCGCTGGCATTCGGATCGACGAGCACATAGAGACATGGTTCAGATATGTGGTCATATATACCTTGATGTACCGCGGTACCTAGATGTCGTTGGAAGTGGCGGGAGCAACGTCATGCTATGATGATTACGGCTTCCTTTACGATTTGATGTTGAGATTTGGAGTGGGTGAGATGAGTCGGGCATATGTACATATTTATGTACCGTACCTCACGACACGCACCGGTTTGAAGGCGATTAGGCTTGCCAGAGAATGTGTGTGCGTGTGTGCGTGTGTGCGTGTGTGTCTGTCTGTGACCTGTCTGTAGTGCTTATAGCTGTAGATGTGGGGCGTTTATAAAAGACTGGCCCCCCTTTGCATTGCCCGTCTCTGCGTCGGGACCTTGTCCCTTACCTGGGTCCACCGCCCCGTCGTTGGCCTAGGGCCGCGCTCTGCCAGGACTGGTAGAACTTCCCTTCCTCATCTCGCATCCGCTGTACGGGGTCACGACACCACTCGCGATTGGTTGGCCTTCCTTGGAGCAAAGGACCAACGGGGACATGGGAGCTGTTCGCAAAAGCTAGCGCTGACAGGATTCGAACCTGTTCCCATATATATGAATGATGTGTCTTCAAACGTCTTTGCTCTCCTCATTCTTGGGATTTGGATGGAACGGACGAGGTGTATTCAGGTGTGATTTCCCACTACAGCCAACCGTTCCTGACTTCTTCCAATACATCGTCTTTCCCGCGTTCTGCCCTGACCCCAATCGAGCGACGTAACATCTGACAGCTTGGGATAATCGACAACCGTCTCTGTGCAGTTTCTGGTCTTCTCCCTCCCTCCAACCTCATCCGTTCTGTACGCCATGTTGCGCGCCATAGTCGCCATCGCGGCTCTGCTTCTGGCCACGGTCGCTTACTATATTGATGATCTCATCAAGAAGAGAAAGCAGTTGGACGGTTTGGTCAGTATCACCAGTGTTTTACTTACAGGCTTAGAGGTGTGGCGCGTCATGCATGGAGATGGACGCTTGGATTCAATTGACGCGCAACCACATCGAGAACTCGGTATGCTGATGTGCCTCGCCCCCACAGCCACAACCGCCAATGCTGAACAAACTGGTCGGCCACCTCAACATTGCCGGCGAACTCAACAAGGTATTCCCACATCGTGTGCATGCCCAAGTCTGGGGTGACTACATGCGTACCAAATGGAACTTACCGGAAATCTTTTACCTTGACCTGTCCGCGTCACCCTCCAAAACTGCGATGCAGTACCCTTTGATATATGCGTGTTGATGCTGATTTTGTTGCTGTCAGTCGGCCATTCGGACCCCTGACAATGTATGTTGCCGACCCCGTGGCAGCCTCCAAATATGTGACCACTACCACATCTCTGCCAAAGGCCCCGGCCGCCAAGGACTTTCTCGATAAGTTCCTGGGCAAAAACAACATGGTCTCACTCGAGGGTGCTCAATGGAAGAATCTCCGCAGCATTTTCAATCCTGGCTTCTCCTTGACCAACATCATGACCCTGTCCGACGTCATCGTCGATGCGAGCTTGACTTTTTGCGACATCATCAGGAGCAAAGTCGCCTCGGGCGAGCTCTTTGAGCTGGAGGACCTCTGCACGGGGCTGACTATTGAGATCATCGGAAAGGTCGTTCTCGATGCCGATTTGCAAGCCCAGACTCAGACGCATCCAATCACCACTCTATTCCGCGAAAGATCCAGGATGATGCCTCCATCAGACGCAGTTTTCCCGTGGCAAGCGGTCGATCTACTACGGCCTTACAAGCTCTGGCGCAATGGTGGAAAGCTAGACCGTGCAATCAGCAAGGAGCTTGACCTAAAGATTGAGCGACGTGCAAAGGAACTGATGGAGACGGAGAGACGTGCGAAACCAGCTGCCAAGAAACGCTCCGTTGTCGATCTTGCCATGAATGCTTATGAAAAGGAGATCTCGGCAGCACGAAATATCGATTTTAGGCTCCGGGAGCCAAAGGGCATGCCAGACAGCTTGCGGATGGACATTAGCGACTCGGTCAAGACGTTCATCTTTGCTGGACACGATACGACCTCATCGACACTGTGTTGGGCGAATTATTTTCTACACAAACACCCCGAAGTTTACGCCAAAGTTCGAAAGGAATTGGACACCTATCTGCCCGGCGGTCTAGCCGAGACTGCTGCCAAGATCAAGGAAGACCCTTATACCGTGAATAAGCTCGAATACACCGTTGCTGTACTCAAAGAGACTCTGCGCATATTCCCACCAGCAAGTACGGTGCGTGGTCCCGTCCACGGCGGATATATCGTGGACTCCGGAACGCAGGAAAAGTTGCCCATGATTGGCGACGACGCTTGTCTCATCTGGCCAGTCTCGCACCTGATCCATCGCAACAAGCGTTTCTTTCCCCGACCGACCGAGTTCATTCCCGAGCGCTTCATTCCCAGCCAGACGCCATTTCCCGACGCGGAACTCTTCACGGAAGCCGGCAAAGATGCCTTCCGACCCTTTGAAAAGGGGCCGCGGAATTGCATCGGGCAGGAACTGGCCATGCTCGAGGGCAAGATCATCCTTGCCCTCACAGCACGCGAGTTTGACTTCGTCTTGGAGTACCCCGGCGAGGAAGCCGACATACGCTATCCGGTGCCCGAGAGCACGGCTGAGGAACTCAGCAAGAGTACGGAGTACGGCAAGGCGATTCGGGCTGGCACGCAAATCCCAGACCGCGTCGAGGGCCATCGTGTGTACCCGATGCTTCTCGGAGCTGCCAAGCCTGTTGGCGGCTGTCCCGGACGTGTATACTATAGAAACAAGTAGAGGCAGTACGAGTTCTAGCAGCCTTGAGGAGAGTTCTCGGCTCCGTGTAATATAATATACAATAACCCCAGAAATTCATAAGACAGTTCGAGCACTTCTCTCAACTGTCACTTTTTAATGCCCAGCTTTAAAGGCAGACGTGGAAAGTTAGGAACGTCGGGTGTAGGTAGTGAAAGGCCTGCTCCCTTCAATGAGACAGATACCTTATGTACGACAGCGGCAACAAAAATCCCGATGCAGCACATGAGGCAGCCGAAGCTCCGACGCTAACCTGCTGGGGCATTGGCCTATTCGGAGGTAATGCTGAGAGGGGGTGCTATATCCTGCCGAGGAATCACCGACAGGAGAAGGAAGGCACGTTACCGAGGAGAGCTGCCGCGGAGTTTGGCATCCAGTCAAGTGGAGCCCGAGGCATCCAGGCATCCAGGCATCGTTCCACTTCCAAGGTCCCGCACCTGCACCTCGCGGATTTACGGACCCGCCCACTGTTCCCGACAACACCGACAGCATCAGCATCAACACAATTGAAGCATCGACGACGACAATTCACAAGTAGTCGGATCCCCGCACTCGTCTCGATTAGGAACCGCCTTAAGTCCTTCTGCACCCCGGAATCCATTTTACAAAGACACTTTCAACACGACTTGTGCACCGTTCTTTTCTCCGTGCTGCTCAGTGCTCAATCGACGGTCCAACGTGAATGACCTAGGTTAAGAGGTTATCCCCGACATCTGCGGCGCCATGGACAACGGCCCGCCCGCAAGCTACCAGACCAATGTGTTCCGCGCACAACCCGCCGAGGGTCTTCAGCGCAAGATTCAGAAGCGCAACCGCCCGCCCGTCAGTTGTCTCCTGTGCAGAACCCGCAAGGTAAGTAGTCGAGCTCATCTTGGTGCCCTCTCGGCTCAACTCTCAACTCCGAGTGCTAGGTGAAATGCGACCGGCAGCAGCCGTGTGAGAGATGCGTCAAGAGCGGCGAGGCCAACTTCTGCGAGTATGCCCCGCGTGCTGCTCGCAAGAGCCGCGCACCGGAGCAGCCGCGGTCGCAGCTGGATGTGCGCTCGCGACCCGAGCCTATGTCCCGCCCCGTCCTCCAGGTCCGTCTTCAGAAGCTGGAGGAGATGGTCAACGGGCTTGTATACACTGCCCATGGCCAGGACCCTGCCGCGAACACCCCCTCAAGTTCGGACCCCCGGACTGAGACGGATGCCCTCTCCGACTTGAGTTCGCCCCCGAGCTTCACCCCGTCTGGATCAATGCATTCGGCCACACAGATGGTCGAGGGTGGTGGTTATGTGGGCGGCACTCACTGGGCCTCAATTCTGGATAGCATCCACGACATCCAAGGCATCCTGGAAGCCGAACCAGACACACATACAAGCCCCTCGCCGCCTCCACCACCTACGCAAAGCTGGCCTCCAGATAGTCCGGATGTCATCTTGGGGAACCAATCCAAGATCACCCATGAGCAAGCTGTGGCACGACTACCGCCGCAGAGTAAGACTGACAATCTCGTGTTGCTCTACTTCCGGCACCCATTCACAACCGCACCGTACATCCACACTACCAAGTTCCAAAGAGAGTATGACGGCTTCTGGAGGGACCCATCTTCGGCGAGCCTGCTGTGGATAAGTTGTCTATCGTCTATGCTCTGTATCGCTCAGTCCATTGCCATGGCGAAGGGCGAAAGTGGCATAGCTGATGCACCTCAGCCCGAGTCGCTGGCGGGCCTGGCAGCAGATTGTCTTGTTTCGGGAGGTTACCTCTCTGCCAAGCCTTACTCCATCGAAGCACTCATACTCCATGGTTACACCGAGATGATTAAACAGAGAGATGCCGTTGTCAATTCTAGTATCTGGGCGAAGTTCGCCCTTACCGCCCGCCTCGCACAACGCATGGGATACCACCGAGACCCGAAATACCTATCAAACGTAACACCTTTCGAGGGTGAGCTTCGCCGCCGAGCCTGGTTCTTCATTGAGGTATTCGACGTCCTCTTCTCGTTTCAGCTAGGGATGCCACCTGTCATTCGCGACGACGAGTGCGACACAGAGTCCCCAAGTAATCTCTACGACACGGATTTCGACGAGAACATGATGGTGCTGCCCCCTTCAAGACCGCCTACCGAAGCAACGTCAACCCTGTACTTGTGCTGGAAGTCGAGACTATGCCGTCTTTTACGTCGAGTCATCCGTTCTACTCTATCGATCCATCCCCTACCCTACGACGAGGCTCTTCGGCTCAACGACGAGATCCATCAGTATCATAATCAAGTGCCTCCAGCTCTACAGATCAAACCAATTCGGTCATACAGCTTCACTGACCAGACGCACGACATCGTGCACCGCTTGATGTTGGAGTTGATGTACCTCAAGAGCCTCTGCGTTTTGCACCGCCCATATCTCAATCGCGACAAGGACAACCCGAGATATGATACGTCACGCAACATCTGCCGGGACGCAGCCCTCAAGATCCTCGAACTGCATGCCGAATACGAACAGGAGAGCAAACATGGTGGAAGACTCTTTGAGGACAAATACATGCTCTCATCACTCACCCTCCATGACTTCCTGATCGCGGCGATGATACTGTGCCTAGATCTTACAGAAAACTTGCCTAGCAGGTAAGCTCATGAAATGATGGTGGAACCTACCGCTCGCTGACACCTGCTAACACCGTCCTAGCTCGACAGACCGGTCGAGGAAGCTGAAGGCTCTGGGAACCTCGTACAAGATATGGTCCGAAAGGAAGCACAGTTCCCGAGATGCCGCCCATGCTACCCGTGTTGTAGGTGCCATCCTCCGAAAAGTGTCGATGCAAGAGCCGGCCCCTGCGAAGCTTCCGCCCCCACGTCTTCCACAGCCCGACGTTCGGGGCGGCTCGCTGGCAAGTCTGCTCAACAATGACGTCCAACCACCTCCATCCATCTTACAAGTGCCATACGACTATTCTCACATACTCCCAACCATGGACTTCACACTGGACTTCGTGGATTGCGCACCCCTTGATAATGTGCTGAGTGACGCCAACCTGGTCGATTGGGTAAGCCGAAAACACTCTCGATAATCAGCCATACATTGCTAACTCTGGACAGAATGTCATCGACCAAATACTGCTGGACAGGCCTGACAGCAGCTTCCGACCTGCAATGTAAGGTCGTCTGGCTAATCAGGCCGGTGGAAGCCACCATCAGCCGGGCGTTACCATGGAGGTGATATGATTGCTTTTCACTTCACAGGAGTGTATGTGCGGTGAAGAAGGCATTGCTAGGCCTTTTTCATTACATCACCCACAGAGTTGTGCACGAACACTGTACTATACATATGTAGTCGTCACCATAATTCTTTGCGGACTGGAGGCAGGTGGCGCCCCGGGACAGGGCCCTGCCAATATACCTCTAGGTGCAGTCGTTTCGAGATACCTCAAGAGCCTAATCGTAGCCTTCATTCAATGATTTGCAACTGAGATATTTATCTACATGTTCGCCTGGTGGTATGACTGCCACCGATCTGTGGCCTGGTCCTGCGTCATGCCTCCTGCCCCTTTATTTTGTGCCACCCAATACACGCATGTTCATAATTTCCGACCACCCCCCCCGAATAAACCACAAAAAAACACAAGCAACCCCCCCCCCCCCCCCATCAAGGGCCAGGAACACAGCCGCAAGTCATTTTATGATCACTGCCTTATTGGCACTTGAAAAGTGTTTTGAGTATCTAAACTTGAGTGTTTGAACACCGAGATTGCATTTGAGACGGCGTCTTTAGAGGACACAACCCCTTCTGCGCTAGTGCGATTTACACCAGCAAGGAGGGTACACATTGGCGGAACGGACATGCTTAGACCTTGCATGAGTTGAGACTTGCAATCTGTATTTCTACTCCATAGCGTAAGACACTGGCGCGGACCTGAGATTCATGTTACGTCAGCCTTGTGATGGACACGGAACGTAGCAACAGGGAAAGCCTCTCCTTTCAGGTTGGTACCTCTTGCAAGTTCTCCAGAATTCCGTTTTTGATCGCTTACTCAGCATATATTGTGTGTTACTGGCTGATAGATCGGCTTAATGGTATTGAAGAACCTCGAAGTGCTTCGGTGTTTCTCAGGGAACGCATTGGCACCACATGGGAACGAGTAGTTCACGACGTATAGCCGTGCTGGGTGATGCATCTTCTCTGTATAAGAGTCTTTGCAGCCAATCTGTGGGAATTAGGTGGGTACACTGGACCTCGAGAAACCTTCATACACCCCGTGCTTCATTTAGGTCTCGTTATACAGGTCGCCTTTTTACAAGCATCAAGCGTGGCTTGTCAGAACATACCGGTAACTGCTTATTACAAGGTGTTGATTGTACAAGTGTGACGACTATACAATTGGTGCCAAGATCAGGATTCTCGTCTGCCAGGATCCCACGCGGCATAGGTTCAGACCCTTTCCACCTTGCGGCGAACTCTATTTTCGAACACCTTACCAAGACACTTCGGTGGCCAGGGTATGTGTGGGTTATGGAGCACGGGATCCCCGTCATCAGGATGCTTCCCTGGACCCTCTCTTTCTCCTCTCCCATACTAGCAATTTGGATTTCCGTTGTACGCACCGACGTGTCAGACCTACAACCCTGCCCCATTGCAGTACTTCGGTAGCCAAAGCATTGCCACCTGCTGGGACTGCTTTCTATGAGGTACCCAATGCCATGAGTGCATATCTAACATCAATGCCACCTCTGTCCTGTGTTTTCTGTGGTAACGTTAGGGGGTGGCAGCTGCTTAAGCTAATGTACTCACGAATTATTCCAAATAATATACATATTATGCTCGAATTATGTAAAGATGCGCACAGGAATACCCATGAACGGTAATAAACTCACCAACCCAGACTCAGGTGGGCCGGGCCAAGTTAGCAACACACCCGACCGAACGGAGCACCCCAACCACCGTTGTCCTGTCTTATTTATAGACGGTGTTCCATCCTCGAGCATACAAGTTCGGGACACTAAGCCAGCAAATGCTTTCCAGTGCAAGTCCTAGACATGAGCAGCAGCCTTCATCAATAGCAACATCATGATTATCCGCACTTTATAGGTCATGGCGAACAGGCTTACGAGAAGGGTGTCAGTAAAAGGGGGGTTTGTGCTGTTCGAAACACGCCGGCTCTCAAGTTGAAACTTCAAAGATGCATGGTGGAAGTGGGTAGTTCATCGCATTATGAGCTGGGAGCCCGTTCTACCTTAATGCTTCTACATATCTGTGTGGATCACCTCCCTCCATAGACCTAACATGACCAACCCCCATCGAGACCACAATGACAGCTTGTTCCAGCCAGTAAAGTATGGCTGTCATCTCCGGGTCCTTGTATACGTCGGAAGTTCAGCGGCTGTTGTTCGGGACAGGCAGAATAACCGTGCCAGGCGCGATTATATCCTCGTCATCATCGCTATTGTCGGTCATGTCGCTGGTCATATCCTGCCAGTCGTACTCGATGATTGATGCGGTGCCTGGTAGCAACCTGGCCAGCTGAGGGCATGACCACTACTTCTTCTGTCTCTTGGCACTGTTGTCGCTGACGCTGCTCAAGTCGCTGGCGCTTCTTTTATGTGCTCCACTACTCCCCGGACGGGCAGCCTTATCGTCCCCCGTCTCCTGCTTGACTAGTGAAGATTCCCCAGCACCGTCTATTTGCATCGCCTCCGCAGTAGCCCCGTTGGTGCTGGTGCCTTCCCTGTTGGTCCTCTCATGGGGATGGCCTGAGACTTCGTCATTGGCGGCAGCACCAGCTCCGTTTGTCACTGTCTGGTCTGACTTCTTATCTTCGCGTGACGAGTCTGTATCCTCCGACTTGGTTTGAGCTTGAGCCTGGGCGACAGAAGCTCTCTCACGCTCGGCTTTCTTGGCCTGCTCGACCTTGATCTCAGCGTCGACCTTGTCATTGATCTTTCGAATATCAAGGAGTATATTGATAGCATTCAGCAGCTTCTCCATCTCTTCGACTACAGGTCTGGTGGGCATGTTGAGCCTGGTGGGAATGTCGAGTTCTGTCAAGGTGTTGGTGATTCGTTGGTGCTGAGCATGGCTTTTCGTCGTCAAAATCTTATTAATCCGTTCGTAGCGGAAAGTGGGACCTGACGGTAGACGATCGTAGTGAGCCACACCGTAAATCTGCTCTTCCTGTTCGCTGAGTTTCTTGCGCTCGGGCTGCGATGCGCCCTTCTTCGAAGGCCGTTCAGGTCGCTCACCGCCACCTATGGAGTCCCTATGACCTCCAATTGACGCAGCGATGCTCTCGCGGCGGCTCTCGGAGACTGGCGTGGAGCCTGGGGGACCCCCCGACGGGTGAGCAGAGGCTGGTGTGTTCATGCCGTTGGCGTCCATGAGCGACTTCCGTTTCTTGGACTTGTCAATGTTCATCATGTTTTGAAGTAGTGTTTGTAACCCGGCGCTGGATTTAAAAGTGCTGATGTCTTGTTCTGTGTGCGGATAGTCGAGACGGTTGTATAATTCGCGACGCTCCTGGTTGAGCTTTTCTTGCCGGGCCACTATGCGCCTGACTTCAATAAGTAAATGTTCTTCCTCGCGTGCCTCGTCTGGCGACCGGCTCAGTGCATTCAGTGCAAACTTCTTGCGCCGCGTCTCGGAATCTGGATCGAAATTGGCCATGACCTCGTGCAATGCGAATTCGGCTTGCGTCATGTACTGCACGGGCTTCTGGACAGCCATCATCTTGGCTGCCACCTCGTAATATCTTCTTTTGAGGTCCTCCAGGTTACGGACATGTGGCGCGGGGACCACAGCAGTGTTTGGATCTGTGACGTCTACACCTTCACCATCCGCTGTGCTGGCTGACAAGTGCGGTGTGTATTCGTACCTATCCCAGATCAACGGCCACCGTAAGTCATACGTTCTTGCCAGTTCAATCAGATAGTCTGTCTCGTGCTTGGTCCAGTCGTTGCTCACTAGGTTGGAATTGTATTGGTCCTCGCTGTACTGAGGAACGTCGACTTGGACATTGAACTTCGCAAATCCAGAGTCGTCAAGCTTCTCCGACTCGCTCTGTGTTCCCATCCCAACATCTCCAGGGGTATTTCCATCCTGTTGAGGTTGTGACGAAGCTCTCGATCGACGGCCGTCGGTCTGCTTCCTCCAATGGCGCAGATGCAGCGAGCAGTCCCCCCGCGCGGAGTTCTGAAAAGAACGCATCTCCCACCGCGCCGTGGGTTTCCTGCTGCCGAACCTCCGCTTCTTGAAAGTAGATATCTCAGGCACGATGGCAATCGGATTGTCCCCTCCCAGACTCTGCACCTCTCGCGCCAGTCCTTTCAAATTCGGCCGCGGTGCGCTGGTTTTCTGCTTCTTCGCCGGCCGGTGACCCGCCCCCTCCGAGGGCAGGTTGAGCATATCGCGGACATCGTGTGAGGCCATTGGAGTGCCTTATAAAGACGCGCGAGAAAGTGCAGCGACCAGGGACCTGGGCAGAAAGGGCGTCGCGTGGAGGACGTCACAGCAAGAGAACCGGAGGCTTCGAGGCTAGTTACGCGACTTTGCGCACCACAATTCAAGAACGGTGTCTTCGACGGAAATTTGATGGCAATCCTCGCTGGACGGGTCGGATGAGATGGTGGTTGTCTGGGGTGATGGATGTCGACGGCGATGCATTGAAAACAATCAATCAATCAATCATGGAAGGCAATCAACATTTGAGTCTTGACCCTACGGTCGCGCCACTGGTATGAACTTAAAGTTTCCCAAGCGATTGGGCCACGTGACAGCCTAATCGATAACAGTATCTACTATCCGGGGCTCCAGATCTCAAGCTAACTTGAAAGATGCTAGGGCGCTCCAAGGTGTAAGCTCTCACTCCAAAGCAACCAACCCCCTGGCCCGGCCTGGCCTTTTTCTTAACGAGGCACCTTGGACACACCCGCGAGAGCTTCGCCCGACTCGCTCGACGCACCCGCCGATCAATCCACGACGGCCTCGCCCGCCCACCCACGACCCAACGCTCTCAATCGACTGGACCATACGTCGGGGATTCGTTGGCTATCCAGTCTACCTATCACAATAAAAACAATGAGGGCGATACTCCCCCTCCTGTGCCTGGGCACCGTCGCCCAAGCGCTGTACTTCTTCATCGACGGCAGCCAGCCTAAGTGCTTCTTCGAGGAACTGCCAAAGGACACCCTGGTCGTGGGACACTACTCGGCGGAGGAATGGGACGACAACACGCGGACGTGGTCGAAGCACGACGGCATCAGCATCTACATATCCGTTGACGTACGCAGCCGCCCCCTCCTCCTACCACGTCTTCCCTCTTGGCCACCCCCCTGATGCGCATACTAACGTTCCCATTTTACCACAGGAGCTCTTCGACAACGACCACCGGGTAGTCTCGCAGCGCGGGGCGGCAGGCGGCAAGTTCACCTTCAGCGCGCACGAGGCGGGCGAGCACAAGATCTGCTTCACGCCCAGCAGCAGCAGCGGGCGGCAGAACTGGCTCAGCGTGCTGCACCCCAACGGCGGCATCAAGCTGACGCTGGACCTGGCCATCGGCGAGTCGAGCGAGATCGAGAGCACCGACAAGAACAAGCTCAAGGACATCTCGCAGCGCGTCAAGGACCTCAACAACCGCCTGCAGGACATCAAGCGCGAGCAGATCTTCCAGCGGGTCAGTATTCCACTCACAACCTCTATCTATCCCCATGTCCCACTTCTACTTTACCGGTCGGTCAAAGACAGACAGGCAGATATGGCAGACAGGCGGAGATGGAAGAACCACATATGCTGACATATACTCACCCCCATGTACAGGAACGCGAAGCCGAATTCAGAGACCAGTCCGAATCGACAAACTCCCGCGTCGTGCGGTGGATGTTCATCCAGATCGTCGTGCTGGGCATCACCTGCGCCTGGCAGCTATCGCATCTGCGCTCCTTCTTCATCAAGCAGAAGCTCACGTAACGCAACCCAAATCAACCAACCAATCCAGAGTCAGGAACGTAGAACCGTGTATCATGGGACAGGGACTGCGGGTGCTGACACGAGGAAAAGGGCACTCGTCACTGTTCGAAATATCATACGCGCTGGCAGGTGGGCATATATACTTGCTTGCTTTCTTTACGGGAGCCGTGATGTGCGTGTCCTGTACTGCGAGGCTGTCTCTGTCGGTAGAAATCCATGTAATGATTCACATATAAAATACATCGCGGCGGCCACAGGAGCAGACCAGACTATCCGAGTTCAGTCTTTGACGGCGTTTATTGTCTCGCAAGTGAGGCATTGTGGGACTAAGGAGTCGATAGCACCCGAGACTCGTGGCTGGCTAGATGAACTGAGCTGTCTGACTCATGGAGTCTCGGTCAGCCAGTCTGAGATGAAAATCTGTATCTCAGCCTGAAGAAGTATGACTTGACTCGTCTGCAACCGGAAGGCTCCTCACCCCTTGGTCAAGCAATACTCATGTCACTTCTGATCCACCCGACTTGACTTGCGCGCGAAATGGCGACGCAAGTTAACACGCATACGAGTAGTCACATTTCACATCACAATCGACGTACGCACAATGTCGTAACCGAACTTTTGTCCTATTGCCTCATCTTTACTACCTTCCGGGCCCAATATCTCTCATATCCTCCAGAGCGGCGGACCACCTCACCCTCTAGCCAGCCACTCCGCGCGTGCTGCTTCTGGCCTGTCTTCCCCAATCCATTGATTCGCAACACCTCCTGTTCTCGCTCTCTGCCATGCCCTCATCTCTCCCCGATATTTCATCGCAATTATAGACAATAAGTGATGTGTGATGCCGTAGGCGAAAGGAGAGAAGAAAATGCCGGAGACCCCCAGTCGCAATGCTTGCCACAAGTTTCAAAAAAAACCCACCGTGCGCCGTTGCTGCGCTTTCGTTTATTAACAGCTTGTATCTATTCGTCAAAGCGAACGTCGTGAAGGAAAAATGGAGAACGGATGTTTGTGTCCCGGATTGCGCCATGCCTAGATCAAGCCAAGATCCATGCGACAGAACTGGCCAGTTTTTCTCAGATTAGGTTGAGAGTAGCCGACTTTGATCGCGATATGCGTCAAGCAGCCTACAAGGCCTGAGGCTCGATTGATTCATTTCAGCCTGCTGGCGGCGTCCAGAGCAAAGGGCTTCCGAATCCGGATTCTGAACTCCGACAACGTAAGAGATGACCGTGATTCGTGACGACAAGCAACAGGTGTCGAAAGCTCTATGAGGGGAACAAGCCGGCAAAATGGGCCAGGAAGTATTAAAGGCATTACAAGACGGTGTGGGGAATCCCATCCAACCGCCTTTTAGTCTATGTGGAATCGCTTGTATGCCATGCTAACAAAAGCATTAACCTGTAGTTCGTCAGCTACCATATCACTGCAGAACATCATGTTGCAACTAACCGCAGCAAAGAACTTTCATGAACTTCTGGAAACCCGTAGGCTGGGGCTCGGACGGTCTTGACCCATTAGTCAAGCCCGCCTGGGGACTCATGTTCGACTGCTGCGTCATCCTCGGCGGCAAGTTCTGGTTGCTGTTCTGGAACTGGGCCTGAGTCGAGCCAGTTGGAGTAGCCATATCTCGGAGACCCCCCACCGCGCTACCTCGCTGCGCCGTCAAGGCGCCGGGCGCGTTTTGCCGTACGCGCTTGTCCATCCCCTTGGCTGGAGACGGAGGTGGGGGCTGCGCGGCGTTTAAACGTTCTTGAGTGATGTTGTTCGGCTTGCTGCTGTTGCCACGGGATTGGTGTAGTAGTTCCACGTTTGACGCATTCGGCCTGGCATTTGGGTTGTGATACGCTGCTCCGCCCTTGTCCCAACCCTTGGCCGATTCCTTGCTGATCTTCATCCAATCGTACTCGCCGTCCTCTACCTCCCCATGGTTCTTCAGCGCCTGTGTAAATAGCTCACGAAGGTAGTCGTAGTCGGGGGTGTCCTCGAAGCCCAGGTTCCTGACGTAGGTCAGGTATTTGTTGAATTCGTCAGGGAACCCAAGGCAAAGCTCCTTGATTGGGGTCGTCTGCTTCTTCTCGCCAATCTTCTCGTATTTCTGTTTGTTCGTTGCAGCTTTCAGACCCTGCCACGGAAGACCACCACGGAGGAAGTACATGAAGACATGACCCAGGGCCTCGAGATCATCTCGGCGAGATTGCTCACGGCCAAGGTGGGTGTTGATACTCATGTAACGAGCTGTTCCTGACAGGGATTTCCTCTCTCGGTATGGAATATGCTGCTTCGTTTTGGGATCTCGATACTGCTTAGCCATGCCAAAGTCAACAACATGGATCACATTGGCGGCCTTGGTTCCTGGGCGGCCGATGAGGAAGTTGTCGGGTTTGATGTCCCGGTAGATGAGGTTCTTCTCGTGAATGGTTTGTACGCGGGAAAGCTGGATTGGGTTAGTGACCAACAAGGCATGTAATACGCTGGCTCGGACCCACCATCTGCTTCGCTACCATTACCACCGTCTTGATAGAGAATCTTCGATTGCAGTGGTCAAAGAGATCTTCCAACGACGGTCCGAGTAGATCTATGACAAGGATGTTGTGAAGACCCTCCTGGCCGAAGTAGTAGACATTAGGGATACCAGCTATAGATACAACGTTGATTAGTGTCGGGTCCACAAGACTGTGAAGCTTGGTAGTACTTACGGCAGCCGACAAGAATCTTGTATGTACGGTACTCGTCTCGTAGTTGTGGTGCATCGCTCTTCCTAGGTTCCTGTGCAGACGTCGGAATTAATAAAAAGACCCGAGCTCGAGGCATGGATGATGTGTTCTGGCACCGAAGCGAATGTGGGAGGGATGACACGGAGAGCTTACGAATTTGATGGCTACTTGCTGGTTGTTCAGCAAGTTGGTGCCTTCGAAAATGACACCGAATGACCCTTCGCCGATCTTCTTGCCGACTCGGTAGTGGACACCCACGACGTTCGAAGAGGAAGAAGCCATTGCGAGAGACGCCTAAGCCGGGCTCGGGAGCGACCAGACAAAGTGACGGGGGCGATGGAGGGCCAGGAAGAATACAGTCGGAGAGATAGACAGGCGGGAGCGGCGCTGAGTTGCTGGACCGACCGACGCGACTGATACTTGGGAGAGTAGGGAGTATGCAAGATACTCGGGACTCAGTGACACGGACACGGGCAGGTCATCTCTCGGGGGACGTCGACGGAGAGAAGAGCGCGGTGTTCCAGCTGGGGAGGCCAGCCGTTGCCAAAGGGGCGTTCGAGGAACGGTTGGTTGGTTGGCGGGAGCCTTGAGGACGGAGTGATGGATGAATTGAATTGAAGGTCAGAAGATCCAAAGGGCCAAAGGCGAAAGGGAGGAAATTCGGGGAGGCGGTCGGGGGGTGATCTGGCAGCAGGCCCGGCAGCAGGCTAGCAGGTCTACTGGTCTAGCAGGCCCAGCAGGCCCAGCCGGTCCAGTGCCACTGTGCAGAGCAGAGCTCCACTGCGGGTCGGCTTTCCCGGGCTATGAATGGCCCAAGGAGGGCAACCCCGTAGCGTACGCGAGTCACCGCCACAGGGTCCTACAGGCCTGTACTGGCTCGTATTGGCCTGTATTTCTGTAATTCGTGGCGAAGGCAGCCCCGGCCCCGCAGGTCCCAAATTCCATGTCCTCTGCCAATGGAACCATCCTTGGAGGTTGGAGCCACAACACCCCGAGAACAGCAGTTCAACATTCAATTGAATGCAGGCTGGTACAGGTACATGTACATGTACTTCCTGCTAGCACCTACTATATACAATACCCGTTGAACCTTAACGAAAGCGTCGGCAAAGGCCCTGTTAGTGTTACTTTCGTCCCTTGCATCGAGGCAAACCTAGATGCACGCCTCCAAGAGCCGATGGTAAAGGTAAGGTACTGTATACCGACAACAGACGAGACGATGCCCAAGATATGACGACCAGACATTCTTGGAAGCAAGCAATTGGAACAATGACTCCCAGCAGCCTCACAGCGCAGCTTCTCTACAAACCAGAAAAAGGGGTGTACATGCAGCATTTCCGACAGTTTGATGCGGAAGCATGTGTGACAACTGAACATGCCATGCCGTTGCCAAACCAAAAACCAAAAACCAAAATCCAGCATCCAGCATCCCTATGTCTGTGTAAGATTGTGTACTAGAGGATGGTTATTCTCTCCAATCAAATGGTTGTTGTTTGTTTGTCTATCAGTCTATCTCGAACCTGACACAGTTCTCCGAGCGATGGTGGCCCGTGTCCTCAACAGTGCGGGACCCCCTTCCACCAATTTCACCAAAAGTGTTTGCCGATGTTTCCCTGGTCCCATCGTGACATCGTCTTCTTCATGCAGCAGCTGTTATCTAATATCTATTTCGGGTGTTTCGACCGATCTCAAGTTTCCAGTTCCGATGGACGGTCATTTTAATCAATCGACCACTTATCATAATCTCCAGGCTCCAGCAACGCTTTTTAGCTTCAACTCACCGCGCAGCCCCTGAGCCCTCATTTCAGCTGGAGGCTCGAGCTGGTCTCCTTATTAGCATTGAGCAAGGTGCACCTAGCTGCTCCTTCGAGCCATCACCTTTCGGGTTTCCCGAAATCTTGCTCGTCTCAACTTATTAGCCATCCTGCTTTCTGCGTCTTCATTCCGCTATCTAGCCATTGCCTGGCTGAGGATCTGCGACAACCCAATTCCGACGTCTAGGTACACCATGGAGACGCTCACCCTAGCAGGGAGCAATCAGGATAACCGTAACAGTGCATGTTCTCCATCATCACATTGCAGTGGCCATCTCGAAATCCGAGGATGGACTAGCTATTGAGAGCTTCAATTACCTAACGCCTCTTCCGTCACATACGCTGGGATGTTGATCAGATATCGGCATTTCGAGCTGGCGTTGCGACAGACTGCTCACTCCTGAGACGGAAACTCGGTGGTCCATCACCAACTGCAAAAGCAGCAGATCCACCTGTGCTATCCTATCCTACGAGATCCAACCAACTCGGATGAGACGATACATTTGGAGGCTCCGGTCGGACTTCGAACGCCACACCCAAACTACCGGCCCGGCGCTGGCCAAGCCTTGCGGACCACCGCCGTCCTGCATCAAGGGGCTCATCAAGCTGACCAAAGCAGAAACTGCCATTTCAGCTTTCTCTTCTTGCCCCCGTTTCACCTTGCTTGGTACGACATGTCACCTTTTGGCAACGCTGGTCCCACGAACCTATCTGGACTGGAAGATTCAAAAGCACAGGGTCTGAATCACCATGTCGCTCACCTTTGTTCGTGCGACGCTCTGCAATGGAGTTCCATATCCCCGAGCATAATGTGGTGAACCACATGTGCCTCGTGGGACGTCTCTCAACAACCATTCAACATCGATGATTGGCTCTCGGGGTATACCCTCCCTAGGTAGTCAACGACATATATGCTGTGGACAATATAGGTAAGTTGCGACCATAGCTTATCCAAGCCACATCCTTGCCCTCAGTTCCAACGGGATGTCTTCGTCTACGGCTCAGCCCATAGCACCACCCAGTTGGAGGACTGAATAATCTGCAGTGGAACGGGCAGCGATATGATGATTACAGTCAAGTGCCATTGGGATACTTCTTGTGCCAGGCAATTATGCAAACAATTTTGTCGCCCACCCGCATGCCAACTCCTTTGTCATCAGATGCCGCGGAATTACCCCATACTCCGGACATCCTGATGGCTGCTTTCGATTTGCGTTCCATTTCTAGCTAGCAGGGCCATGGGGAAGAGACTCCAAGCGCGATGATATCAACGATGTGACCACGACGCGGCAGAGTGGTCGAGATTCGAGGGCTGCCCTCATCGGCAAAGATGCTCAGGTATATACAGGTGCATATTCGATAAGTAAATGATTACACCAGTTTATAGGATCTAGCTTTCATCCCATATTTCGTTCTTTTCGGTTACAGCCTCTTCAGTTTCGGTCCCGGACTGCAAGACTGGCACTGGCAAAGGCTACAGCATTGGCAATCGCCTTGCAGGATATGAACACCGCCACCATGTCTCACGAACATATTAAACATCTCCAATCCCACGGCCGTACGACCGTGAGTCAAATGGCCCTCGAGACCCCGACACGAGACGCACAATGTGTAGTGGAACTGGGCACCACCTGGGCAACGAGGCAGTCCAACGATACGTCCCCGGCACGTGATAGCCGGCAAGCCCGCCTCGCAGCGCAAGCTCGACTTCGAGCACCGGGCTCCGCTGGTTACGGGAGGTCATGGCCGAAGCCACCGACGTCTTCTTCTACAGGTTCCCCGGCATCGGAACAACGGCCATCTTCACGACCCAGGCCGACGGCCCCTTCTTCGGCAGCCTATTCCAGATCGGCTGAGCCTACGCCATGGGAATCGCCTTCGCCACCCTGCGCGCCGGACTCTGGCGGGCACTCCAACCCGACCATCACCCTCGACTTCGCCTTCGCGCAGGGCTTCCCTGGTGCAAGGTGCCTCTGTACATCCTCAGCCAGATCTGCGGCGCCTTAGTGGCCGGCTGCTTGATGAAAGGCATGTACCGGCACGAAATCTCGTCCATGAACGCGCGCTTCGTTGCGGCGCAATGTGCTGTGCTCCTTCCCGAACCTGAACCCGGACCAGACGAACAACCCGGGCCACGTCTTCATAGCCGAGTTCTTTCGTCGACGGCTTCATCGGCATCGTCATTCTGGGCGATGCTTCATGCCGCGAACCCGTTCGTGCCGGCCGGCAGCGCGCCCTTTACCATCGGCTATCGGCCTGGCTTACGGCGCCATGGTGTGGGGTGGCGTCACCATCGGCACGAACCTTGCGAGGGACCTCGGTACCCGCGTGGTGGTTGTGATCTTTCACGGGCCCGAGACCCACTGGTACAGCCCGTTCGTGATTCAGGTTAACGTCCCGGGCACGTGTCAAGCAGTGCGTAGGGTCATTCAGATGGGTGAGAACGTGTATTCTGGTGTATTGCGTGTACGTTGTTGTATCTGGTGAAAATCCTGCTGTGGGCTAAGTGGCCCAGAGATGCCCTATTAGCCTTGATTGGTGCGCTGCCACATCCCTGAACGCCACGGTGGCTTGCGCGCCATCTAACACCACGCTGTTCGCGACGGCCTACGACGAGTTGCTGATAAGGGACAGTCTGAGTATCATGGGCCACGGAAAAGGCCGTGTATGAGGACGATGAGAAGGGCCAGTGGAGACATATCAGCAGGCCGGGCGTCCTGGAACTGGGCAGATGAATGGCGCCCACGGTTTACATGAGAAGGCTAGCATAAAGCAAATGAAGAGTATTTAGAGCCAGGTTTGCTGTGGAGCTCGAGCTCTGGAGTTGAAGCTCAGAGCACTTTTAGTAACAAGCAAGATAGCGTGGGAGTCTGAGGCTTTTGGGAAAGGTTTGAGTATCATCATGAATTCAGCGTCTCCTCCAAGAATTATCATTGAACGTATGTAGGTAGCAATCACATGACGTTCTGCGGGTCGAACTAGGTATCGCACCCCTAAGTTGGGCGTGTTAGTATGGGATGGCCTGCGTGTCGTGAACTGTTAAACCCACACGACGATGTTTGTGAACACAGCGAAGCATCTACTTGGCTTCAAATCCACTTCTTCCAGCTGTCTGACCAGCTTGAGTCGCGATTCGCTTGTCATGTTGCAAGAGTGAAACCAAGCGCTACCATAACGACCGTTTTGCGATAAACTCGATTGAACCATATATCTCCCTCTCCAACCAACATCATGACTCCAAAGAGCACTGTAAGTCAAAATCTCGAAGGTACACATATACAATACAATCAACCAACCATCCCACCACGGAACTTGTTTTCTCTTTTCTGTTTTTTATGCATGCAACACGACATAATAACCCCAGCCTACTTCTTACAGATGTACGAGGCGTAGTACGGCCCGAACCCACCGGGGAACCCCGTCCTGCACATGTACGACCCATCATCAGACAGCAAGCCGTCGTCCTTAGCCTCCTTCTTGGACTTCTGGAACAGCGGGTCGCCCTCGCAGGTGAACGAGTCGCCCGGGTAGATCGTGACGGTGCAGCCGTCGTCCCAGTCGGTGACCAGCACTGCAGCGGCGGCCGGAGTGTCAGCACATGCTCCCCTTCGGACAGTTGTAAGTCGGCGGGAGTTGGGAGGGGGTGCAAGGGGGTTGGGTAACATGAGACTCTGGGGGAGGGAGGTGGAGGGAGCTGCTTACTGGCATTGAGCCCTAGAAACACCGACATGCACTTGTTGGATTGGTGGGCCAGCCCGCCCGCCTCGTAACGGCGGGGGCCCCCAAGTGGGACACTTTTCACACCAAAAGGCCACACTTGCACGCACTGACAACTCCATCCGAATTGAAGTTATAAATTATATAATAAATGCATTAGAACCGCCATTTCTTGAAGTCTTCAGCAATATTAATTGTTCGCCCGGTACCATGCGGGCTGTTGGATTGCGCGGCGCGAAGATCGCACCACAATGGGCTCGTCGGCTTCATCATCCGGCTCATCAGACCCTTCCTCGTTCCCATTGTTGACAACCACCCCTTCGTCTAATTCTTCTGAATCTAACGATCCAGAGGAGAGGGAGTCTTCAGAGAGTGATCTCTCTGATTCGTCAGTATGCAAGTTCTGTAATTCACACAAAACTCGTCGTCTCTCTGCCCGTTGCTCAATAGCAGCTCGTGCGGCCTCCGTATGCTCGATTTTCTCAGCAATAACATCCCCAACCTTCCAAAGCCGTTGATTAGGCTCTTCCTGAGGGGCCTTATGGCGCTTCTTTGGCTGTAGACGTTCGATTTCGTCGTCTTTTGCCTCCATCTGCTGCTTCAGAAGGGCTATCTCAACCACCATCTCATCGTACGCCTTTGCAACCAAGCGGACTCCTGCTCGCTGTTTAGGGGTCTCAGCCACTGTTGATAGCATCAGGGCTATGTCCTGCCCTGATTTAGGGGCTTCTAGTGCTTTAGGAGTGGTTTCTGGGTCCATTATTGCTGCTGTTGCTGCTTGTATCTCCCCTGCCTTCACTACATGCTCGCTTGCCAGCGTTTGCCAGCGTTTTCCGCCGATTCACAGGCCAAAGGCCAGCAGCACGCTATTCCGAATGCACGATAACTGGCGTGACTTCATCGCGAGCTTTTGCTAGGCAACTGAGGAACTTAATCTTGCCAATAGGGGCCGAATCGTTGAGCTGACCGAGCTGGTTGATGAGGCGGCGATAGGCGGCCTTCACTACAGAGAAAACGGTCAAATCCAGCAGCTGGAAGATATGAGACTACCTCTGTTAGCGGAATAACTACTAATTAATCAAATAACCTACCGTATGGACAGGAAAAAAGCACATATACTTATTATTTATGTAGCAGAGATACATAAACTCGTCTGAGCAGTGGCTGCCATGGCCATCTAGTATTAAGAGGCGAAAATCGTCGGGATCCTCAGGAGCTGTATAAGGTAGATAGATCTAGGACTTAATTAGCATGTAGCTAACACTATTCAATAAGAAAAGAAATACCTTTTCAAGCCATTACAGCACAATCTCGTTCGAGGACCAGCCGTTAGCAGAGTACATTATAAACCACTCTGCCATCGCAGGATGCTCCTTAACAAGCTGTTCTTTAAACCACTGTGTCTGTATCGACTTCGCCTTGAAGATAACGAGCAGCCAGAGCTTCTTTCTAGTGGCGGTGATCGATTCTATCACTGTAGTCCACGTGCGGTTGTCATTAGACTTGACATTGGCCCCTTTTGAGCCAGAACTGCCTATTACAAGGCCATCAGACCTATAATTTCCCGGTTAGTCGTCCGAAAACCACTTGGAATGGATAATTCACGTACTGCCGGCCCTGCATAATGCCGTACTTATCGACATCTGCCCGGTTCTCGGGTTTGATGAAGGCGAACTCCTTATAGAGATCGTGGAACGCATTCACGTTCTCAGGCGTGGCAGCGTTGATATGCTTGTGATCAAGCTTTCGGCCCATCTTGGTCTTGTTCTCCTGGTGCCAGCGGATGAAGCTCCGTATGTAATGGCTCCCTAAGTAATCTGATTTTCCTTTAGATTTTAGGATCTGGCAAATGATGAACTTGACGTTGCCATGAGTTGGCGTATGGCCGGCCTTTTCTTGATACAGAATCCATGAAACCACCTTCTTTTCTTGAGGAGGGCTTAACTTCTGAGCATAAGAATGCCCTTTTTGTACTGTGGCAGTTGGGCGCATCGTGGTGCCGTCTACCTTGAAGAGAGAGTCGATTTGGGTATTCCCCAGCGATGATAGGCCTTGCGGAGAGATAGGCCATCCTTTACAGCGGCTATTGCCTCTGCATGGTCTTTTTCAGTGTATGAAGGAGGCATTTCATCGTACTAAAGCTGATATTGCTTACAGAAAAAAAGAAAAAAAAGAACAACAAGACTTCTGTTGGATGGGACGTAATAGGGGGCACGGGTCCTATTACCCCTCAGATTAGGCCCGGAAGTGCTAACTTCCGCCCCACTCCACGGGCCATCCCGCAGCAGCAGACCTAATAAAATCTACCTTGGAAGAAACACCAAGAAAAGAAAATTCTAATGCCGTACTTACGGTATCTAGGGCTTCATTGCCGATAAAGATGTGTATAAGTGAACATTGTGATGTTGGGTGTGAAAAGTGTCCCACTTGGGGGGCTGTCCCACTTGGGGGCCCCCGCCGTTAGTCGGCCGCGCCGCCCTTGGGGGCACAGTTTGGCTGCGAGGCCCAGATTTGGAGAAGCCAGGCCGAGGCCGTGTGCTGTGTGCCGAGAAGGGCGAAAGCGAGGGTGGAGAGGGCGCTGGCAGCGTGCATATTGTTGGCTGTTGGATTCGAGGGCTGTGTGATGAAGAGCTGGGTACGTCGGGGTGAGTTGAGGAGCCGTGGCCGTGGAACGTGTGAAACAAGACTGGTAGAACAGGTAGATATAGTGCCGAACTTGCGGAGAGGCAAACGTGAATGGATATCTTGGATATCTTGGAAGACGGTGAGGGGATAAGGAATCAAAAGACGAAGTCAATTGTCACGAGATATATATGGTCTTTTGAGCTCTCCAGTGCTGGCAACATCTCCATCTGCTACGACATGCCCGCCGTCATGGATGACGTTGAGCGTGAAATAGCTCATAGAAGACGTATGTGTCTGTGTCTGTGTCCGTGTGTCTGCAATACGCCATCTTCCCGTTCAAGGAGTCTGCAAAGTAAAAATAGAAGGTAGAATAGCCGAGTCCCCGAACTCTTGGTGATGATGCTGCACATAGGATGAGATCGGCATGAGAGCGATGTTATCATGGTTGGGTCCCTCGTGGCGCAGCAAGGCTGGACATGGAGTGGCCATCAGATGCTGATTGCGTCAGTGTAGGACTAATAAATGAAGGCGACGGCAGGTCTGGTATCGTCTCAAGGTACTGTGTAGTCTGTGAGAGTAACTTGTAAAATCGTCCTCGCTGTTCCTCGAGGGGCAAATGAGTAGTCGCCGCTGATGAGTCTCAGTCCGCGTACCATAAATGGTCCTCCGTTTGATAAAATTTGAATGGTAAAAATAATCATATTGGAATAAGCATTTATTTATATCGTATCAAGCTACGCTCGAGGCCTACTCCAGTAAGGTCAATCTACACTGAAAAACAAACCTTAGTATTATAGATCACAAGTCGGTTGTACAGAGACTTCTGAGGGTCCAATGTACCAATTTCACAACGTCGACGCTGGTCCGTTGCAAAGGACTTTGTTAAACACATGTCTGATATGGTACCGGCCCTATAGGCTGGAATGTTGTCAAGGCATTGCTGACAATGTATATTATGATCTTGTTTGTATATTGCTTCTTTCTCTTGGTAATTCCTATCAGTTGGTATATCGGTAAGATACCTATCTGATGTTGCTTACGGGCGCCTCTGCTTGGCGCTGTCTTTCCCAATCGTAAGGATCCCAATGCATTGCCATGCGGCGAAGCCACGTGCGTTTCAGCGCACATCATGTGCCTTGTGGCTACAGCCCTGGATATGTTCCGTTCAGCTGGGCGTTCCAGGTATTACCAAGTGACGACGTCAATCAGATCACCTCCAGCTGTTGTCATTCTAAGCTCAGATCCCAAACCAGATCCACCAGGGGGCTGCGCCGATATACTGCGGTTGATGATCCTTCAACGAATCTCCATAGGCCTGGGGTCTCCCACGGGGTCGGCAGCGGGCTTAGCGATAGGATGCGTCCGACATCAGTCGGAATGTTGCTTGATTCGCGATGCACACCATGTCATTCATCGAAGCTTCATCGCTCGAGGCGCTCATTAGTCCTAGGAACACCATAGATAAGTACCAGGGATGCTACAGGAGACGGTGCCACCGTGGCGAAGCAACCGCCTAGGAACCTATCAGATTCATATCATCATGTTACGGCGGTTTGCGAAGAATAGATGAAGATCCAAAAGTGGTGGTTGGTCATGAAGAAGTTATGAAGCCTTCTCTGATGTGTCATTCTCCGTGTGACCCTTAGCGAGAAGATAGAAGTTCTCTAGGCTGAAGTTGTCCGACAAGTAGTGGCGACTGTTAGCTTTGCACTGGATGGCAAAGAACTATTCTTTGATGACATCGGAGAGGTGACAGCACTGTCTAAAAGTAGCAATGGGATTGCATCCAGGGCTATGCTTCTGTAGTATAAATACTCGCCTTCATCCCGTCTCCTTTCTGTTCAAACATTCACTGTTTTGCATACCATCATCGAACTCGCCTCGTCCCATACTCCACTGCGTACCATCATTAAATTCGACCTGCACCGTATTCGCAACATAAGGGTCACCCAACTTCCATCACAATACTCAATACTCATACCGAGACCATGATTGCAGAGACCGTTCTCCTGGCCGTGGCCCTCTCTGCCGCCGGCCTCCGAGCCCAGAAGTTGAGCGTCGTCGACATCTACAGCGCAAGCAATTGCGACCCGGACCCCAACGACCTTAAGACGCAATCCGCCGAGTTGAGCTTCACCCCCAACAGGGATGGCAACGGCAACACGTACACCGCCTGCGAACTCGAGTACATTGGCCTGGGCACCTGGCCGACCAACGACGACGGCAAATATCAGGTCTGGGTCGACACCTCGGGCTTCGGTGAGGGGTGCAGCATGCTATTCTACAACTTGCTCGGGTCCGACGAGGAGTTCAACGAGTGGCCGTGCCGCCAGCTCTACCGGCAGATCCAAGCAGACAAGACTGGCTGTGGTGATTTGGACCTGACCCAGCAATTCGGGTACGCGTAAGTTATCAACTTCGTCTGGCAACTATAATCTAGCGTCCTCTCTGTTCAACATTCTTCCCTCCCCTCAAGTAAGTATGGTGGCTGATTGTGTTATGATGTGGTTAGTTACTGCTGTGGCAGCATCTGCAACGACGACATCAGCTCCTGGCCGCAGCCAGCCAAGCGAGCCATCGACGACATCACGCAGGACAAGCGGCATATCCCCAGCAGCAGCACCACCACGAAGGAGAAGCGCGACACTCTCGCAGCACCCGTGAAGGACGTCATCGAGGTCAAGCGCGCGCCCGTCTACCCTAAGCGGGACGACAAGAAGTGCACGCTGATTCTCGACGGCAAGCCATTCACCACCTACGGCGACCAGCAGCAGATCGGGCCCAACGACAAGTGCGAGCTAGCCCAGACCACGTGCGGCCAGGACTACACCTACACGGTAAGCACCGAGGTGGCCGACTCGGCGTCCAACAGCGACTCCACCACGGCAGGCTTCGAGTGGTACGTCACCTTCAGCAACACTCTCGAGAGCGGCTACGAGCACAGCGAAACCAACAGCAAGTCGTTCTCTGTCACACACCACCTGGCGCCCGAGCCGGGCCACGAGGGTTATCCCACCTTCCAGCCTCTGTTTTCCTGTGAGTGACACTCTGTTTGGAGTCAAGGGAGTAGGTAAGATGGAAAGCTGACATTCGATATACAGGCGCTAAGGCACACCTCAAGGGCGATTGCTCAGATGTGAATTTGAGCATCTCAGGAGACACGATCTGTGTTAATAAGATGATTAGCAACGGAGGGACCAACGAGCCTGACGGCGACTTCCTCGAGGTCACCATCGATTAGGTAACCTTGCACGTGTTGTCGCTTTGATGTGCGACGTCTGTTCATTACCGCGTTTCCGGGTGGGTTGGGCCCGTGCTGGAACACGGTGTGTATGATAAGAGGGATGGGTGTTGATGAGCGCAGTCTTTCCTTGTGCTGAGTGAAGGACCGGAGAAACCCCTACGCTCCTTAAAGTGTGTATCTGGCATATCATGTATTATATCTCGCCTTTGGCCATGTACACTCATTGTTATCCCAACTTCATGGCTCAGGGGCCTGGGCGTGCTTCCCGTAATACTTCTATCTGTCATGTTCCTGAGGTCCACCAGTAACCACTGAAGTGTGGTGAGTAGACGTTGGGGAAAGGGAGCAGATTCAACACCAGCCACTGCTGACTAAGGCAAACAACGGTCACACTCTGCCGTACTTTATGCTCCCTAAGTTGCCCCGTGATCAGCAGGCTCAGATTCCGAGTCACTTGGTGGATGGATTACAATGGATACGCTGGTGGCTTCTTCACTGTCCTCTTTTGGAGGCAGGCAGATGGCCGGCGCATCTGTTGCCTCCTAGAGCTTTGGACCGCCTTTCCCATCTACCGCTGCCGGAAAAAGGCATGAGCCCAGGTATGGCATGTACTCCGTAACTCGACGTCTCGGTCTCGGTCTCGGTCTTGGTCTCGTGCCAAACGCGAGTCGTAATGGAGATGACGTTACCCATAATCTTCTGGGAATCCACCTCCCCAAACTGATGCGCTGCAGCTTCGAGTGTTATCTCGAGAGAACCCCAGACTGCTCGCATGTGGGTTGGTGAACGATTCCCGAGCCTGTGCAGAGCCTGCATGACAAAGACCGGACTAAGTGACTTTTCGACAAAGAGTGACGGCGGAAGTTCGCTGAGTTGGGCGATGACGAAAAAGAATTCCCGAAGATACCGACCTGCTCTGCCGCATATAATGTGAATGCTGTCTTCTTTGTCCAGCTGGCCTTTCAATTGTATCTTCAGCATGCCCCAGAACTCTTCGCGCCCGTCACTCCGTAGCGTTGTGGTTTGTAGGTCCCAGTTCTCCAACGGGACGGCGACGTAATGATATTCCCATGTCATTTGGGGATCGCGAAGGATGCGTATTGCACCCTGCAGGCTCATATGTACAGTACGCACCATCTGGGGCGAAAGCCTGAGCTGGATGTACTGCGGCTCGTTGAGATTTTCTGTCGACAGCATGCCTCGAAAGGGATACCAATTGTAGTGGAATTCAGTGCGTACCCTTACAAACGAATGAGGCCCGTATTGCTGCAGATGGATGCATCTCCGGCGACTTGAAGTTTGTTTCGAATGGGGGGACTCGTGACAATAGAGGAGCATCAAGTAGTCTCTGGAATCGTCATCATCAGACTCCTTCAATGTATCCGTCTCTGTGATAGGCGGTAATTAGACCGGTTGTCCGAAGACCGCGATTAGTAATGCTATATCCTACCGAGTAGTTTTGTAGTGGCAGGAGTCCATTGTTACCAGTAAATTCGGCTGGAGATGATGCTAGGATTCCTCGAAAAGGCCTTTCGTCGTCGTCACGAGACTTCCAAGCAAAGATAGAGAGGTCGTTTGACGACCTGATGATCTCCTCTTGCAAGCGCTGGAAAGCCCTTTCCCCTTCCCCATAAAGCATAGGCACGTTGACGTCGAAGATACCCAGAAGACAATACGTAATATCTTCCGTCCTGGTGGTGACCCGCGAGGCTGCCCATCCCATTCGCTGGCCGACTAGGATTTCGCTGCATGGTTTGCCCGTCAAGACTTCCTGAGTAACGCCGGTAATGCTTGACAAGACTCTTGTCCATTCTTCCTTCGTTCCTCGAAGCGCCCAGTCCTTGTCATAGAAGTCCACTCGACTGGGAGCTATAAGCTCCTGGAGCGTCCAACCTCGAGTGAACCATTTGCATTCATCCAGACGTGACTCAAACTTCCGTGGTACCGTCGGAAGCGAACGTTGCGGCGGCGCAGACTCCGGCACGGGTAGGAAATCGAGATCTGATAGGAAAGCGTAACAGACGACCGAGCCTTTGTACCTGTTGGATATCATAGCAGGTCCAGACGAGGCCTTCGGGGCTGAATGCGCTAATGGGTTTGGTTTGAGGGCAGTCAGCCGACCCTCAGGCCACCAGGATTCTGGCACCATTATCGTATGATGATCTGGTCACTCTGATGGCACACCTGTACATATATATGGGGGCTTCTCCCCCAGAGATCTTCTTCTCTTTTCCTTTCAATACCAGAACGGTTTGAAATCTCACAGTACCAAGCGAACATGGAATTGATGGCTTCAGTCAGTTCGGCACTGCTTGATTTGTCGATGCAGCAGGTGTCCACCCAAGCATAAGCAAGGCCCTGCTCCAGAGCAATGCGGCAGGTGGCTCGGATTTTGTCGAAGCTCCCCTTCGTGGATGCCTTTGGGATGTCGCTCATGTCTCGGAAGGTGACCTCTTCGCGTTCCCACGTGTGGGAAAGGATTGCATAGGGAGGGACTTCGTTCATGAACTCCTCCAGCTCAAACGTTTCGCAGTTGATTAATCTCATCGTCGCGGACTCGCAGTAGCCGCGCCGGTACCGGTATGTGTTAGCAGTGATCTCGCTCTGACTGTTTCGAGGAGTTGAAAGCCACTCGGTACCGGTATTGTGAGAAGCGGGTGTTCATGGTGGCAAGCCGTCGAGAGCTGCGGGCCAATGCAGACTGGTGCGCGGACGCGCGATAGCCTCACCTCAATGCTACATTTATACCAGTTGTTGCAAGCTACCGTGGCTTCAGGGAGGTGGCTGTGCGACGGCATACCAGCCACATCATCTCCGCAGCTTCAGGTCTCCTACCAAGGAAGCGGGAACCCCCATCGATCCTCACGAGTGCAGAACAAAGGAGCAATGGTAGTGACCAAGTTGGAAGCATGAGGGAAGAGTCAGGGACGCGAATCGCTTGTTGATGGCAGTGCGCCCGGCGCCGAAACGGGAGCGGGAACGGCAAGGTGCCTTTGCGATGAGTGCCACAACCCGGACCCATACTACGCGGCGGCGACAGGATGTCACAAAAGCGGTCGAGCACGCGTGGAAGTGCAAGTAAAGTTTCTGGAACTCTCCCCGGCACGGTATAAGCGAACTCTCAGGGCCGACCACGAAGTTGTCAGGCACTTTGATCCGTTTGGCATGCTGTCTTGGCGAGGCGATCTATGGTAGCATCTGCCATGATGTCTAACCTGTGAGTCATGACTGGAAACATCCCGTGAAAGGAGATACTACGTGCGGCGGCGGAAAGGGTGTCAGAGGGTATTCTTCCCGCTTCAGAGGCACGTCAACAGCGTGAACCGGCCCCTCGTTGGGGAGAAGCACCCAAAAGCCAACGCGACCCCGATCATGATGCCATCAGCTGGAACGACGAAGAATCAAGCTCCAGCGCAACTCGTCGCAAACCGCTGCCTTCCGCAACTATATGACCACACTTGTGTGTGCTCTTGGAAGTGCCGGTTTCGACAGACCGTCGTCTTCTATAACCCAAAAGGAACAAGACCGATTCCTCGCGTGTTTTCTGGGCGACCCCCAAGCTCCAACCACGGGTGATTATGGGCAGCCAAGCTTCGATACGTTCTCAGCGAGAGCAGTCATGGTGGCTTTGGCGTGCGCAGCTAATGGGGCCAATATGATGGTTAGGTGCATGAAGGGAGAGTCGGAACCAACGATCATAGCGAAACCTGCAGACAGTTCCAGGGCTGTCGGTGGCATATTCGTTTGCACGTTGTGGCTCGTGGAGCCGCCGCCCTCAATCTCACAAACGTTGCGCAGTTTCCAAACGCGCGAGGATCTTGAAAGCCTCCCCGACCTGACTGGGCCAGTTCCTCTCTTCGGCGGGCAAATTGAGATTGCGAAGAGTGTCTCAGCTCAGCTGGGGGTCGACTGGGATGGAGAATACCAAGTCGCGCTGAGGGAGGCTGCTTTGCGATCTGGACACTCCTGTGCGTGTGTCCCGAAGGTCCTCGCAGAAATCATGGTCAGCCAGGGGCTATCAAGCAACCGAGTTCTCCTCACGGCGGCGAGGATATGGCGAGGATTGCCGCCTAACTTCACACCACACATCCCGTCCGATAACAACTTGGTAGGGATTGTCTGCCCGCAGGTGACCATACTGCTCAATGTGCTCTTTGAACCGACAAATGTTGCACAACACGGGTTGAAAGGGGGGCTGTTCAGCCTGTACCGGGGTTCAATTCCCATAATTCCACGCGACCAGTTGTCCGGGTTTGTCTTCGCAGGAGAACCCACCTTTCGAAAGCCCATCCGGGATCTAGACGCGCTGCAGCAGATACCCCAGGAAGACGACCTCAAGGAACATCTAATATTCACAATGGAGCCGGAGAAGACCGAGGCTGGCGTCACGGCCGCCATCATCTGCGGATGGATCTACGGCGATCCCATGTTTGAGATAAACCCTTTCAACCTGCTCGCCGGCCTGGTGAGCGAGCGGCATTTGGAATATATGTCATCGACAACCGGGACGCTCGTTAAGGAGGTGGATGTCCGTCACATGGGTAGCCGGGAGCTCCTCAGTTGCACCGGCGGCTTCAAGGTGCGGAATGGGAACATCATCGTCAGGGCCGGCTCACGGACAGACTTACAAGTCCTAGCAGCAGGATGCCATTTTGGGCTCCGAATCGTCATGGTGGTAGATGAGAAAGACGCAGCTCTCATTAGGAACGTACAGACTCCGGCGGAGCCCGGAGAAGACGACCGTGGTGCGTCCTTGACACTTCATTTACCAAGTAAACGAACGCAAGAACCTCCCTTTGATGCAGTCTTCATCTTCTGCTCGGATCACTTCCCAGAAGCGTTGGAGGTGGTTTCTAATATCGAGAAGCCGAGTGGAATGCCTAGGCGGGGAAGATGTAGCTTTGTGACTGCGGATCCGAACTTCATTCGTTGCGAGAAGAGTGGAAAACAGATCTCGCAATGTAATACGACTTTCGCAAGGTCTGGTGATATCAAGAGTCAAGAGAGGAGTGCCGGTGTTCAACAGGTACCTAATCGGAGCAGGAAGCAGGTTCGGTGCCCTTCACCCTTCTTGCGGACGGGCTTCCTTCGCCCCTTACGAGAGCTATCCAGCGCTCATCGCTCCCATCAATCCGCCTTAACACTCAATTTCAGAAGCTGCTCAGCATTCTTATACGATATACCTTCGAGCATCTCATCATCCACCATATCACTCTCCTTCAGCGCGTTCAAGAAGTGCACGCCGGCCTCATTGCCGGTGAAAGGATAGTCCACGCTGAACATGATCCTCCCAGGCTTACACTGTCTTACCAAGCATGCCATCGGCGCCAAAGCGAACATTCCGGAAGTGGTAATCCACACATTCTCGTCCCAGACCTGGCGAAGCTGACGTTCTAGCTTGACGCCGAGGTGCGGCCATTGTCGTCCGCTTATCTTCTCAATACGATCCAGCTGGAAGGGCAGCATCTCACCCATGCTGTCCGAGCAATTCAGCATCAGATGATGGGGAAAGGAGCGACGAGTCAGCGAACTTACTGGCCAAGAACGATCTTCAGTTTTGGAAAGCGGTCGAATACTCCCGCAGCAAACAGTCGCAAGAAGTGTACCGCCGTCTCGCTATGCCAGCCGAAACCGTACTGGCTCATCGACTCCGAGACCGCAGTCGGATAGTTGCCAGCGTACAACAGCTTTCGCGCTTCCTCGTTCGGGGCTGGATGGATGTACACTGGGACGTCGAGCTCCGTTGCAGTCTCGAACACCGGCCAGAAGAAGGAGTCGTCGTAGAAGCGACCTTCGGTGTTATTGTCGACCAGCGTGCCGACAAAGCCCAACTCGTTCACGCATCGACGAAGCTCCGTACTGGCAGCAGCAGGATCCAGCATCGGCAATGTTGCGAAGCCTGAGAAGCGTCCTGGTCGCTGCTTGGTCAGGCCGTGCAACTCGTCATTGACTTTCTTGCAGGTGTCGATGTCGAGAGCGATAGTGTTGGCCACATGGCTGACGACCTGCATGGCGACGCCGTTGTCGTCCAGTGACGAGAAGCGTTTGTCTCCGAACTCCATGAGAGCTTCAGTGGCGAAACCGACAGCACTCTTCTCGTCGTTGGGATCCGGGACACCTTTGGTAGCGTAGAAGTCTCGGACATGCTTCGAGCACCAGTGTTCTTCCAGAGTGATGAGGGGGTATTGGAACGCCATGGTTGAGTGATGGTTTGATGAGAGTAATGGTCGGGAGATGAGTGAGAGTCTAGGACGACGACGGGAAGTCTGAATCAAAGCAGTCAGGAGCGAAGTTCGAGAATGCATGTTGTGTCGAACGATTGATGGCTGGACTTGATCGTTTACTTATACATCTGCATGTCAGTGACTAGTTCCCGGGAGTAGTGGTCTTTGGTGTTTGGGTGCGTCGGACTCCGAGCACTACCGCCGAGACCCACAACCTTCGGACCCACGAGACTCGGGACAATACAGTGGTTAACCCTGATCGAGCATGGGATTCGTACCACAAATCCCTTTCTTATCCTCGAGAGAATATCTTCCAATCTTAGCTGAGCCCTATGCTATATCCAGATCATGGTGTCTGTCCAGGAGACGCCAATGACGGAATGGTGATCCTGTCACCTGTGGACCAATCAGACGATGGGACGTCGGGATCAGCCGACTGCAACGGCCGGAGTTCCATCACCTCCACCACGGACCAGTCTTACCACACCAGCCGTTCGCTCATCACTAACTTCAACTAGAGATGACCTGCCACGTTTCTGGAGCCTCGTGTCCCTTTTCTTTAGCCCTTTGACGTAAAAGGAAAGACCCGCTCGACTATCACCCCAAGCTGTTCAGCCAGGATGACCACGAATGAGGGCACTATTCCGGTGGTCGATCTGGAGAGCTGGCTGCAAGGGTCCCTGGAAGATAGGCGGCGTCTCGCCACCGACCTGACTGGAGCTTGTCGTCGCGTCGGCTTCGTCTACGTCGTCAACCACGGGGTGCCGGACGATCTGCTCGAAGAGGCTTTTGGCTGGTCCAAGAAGCTCTTTGATCTGCCTCACGAGATGAAAATGCTGGCGCCGCACCCTTCAGGTCCGTAGAACATCTTCTCAAATCGCAACAGTCAATTGAGCTACATCATGTGAATGAGTAATAGGATGAATAACTGACTGGAGGGACAACTGTGCAGGTCCAAATGTTCACAGAGGATATTCGTGGCCCGGTCTGGAGAAGGTGTCGCAGAACGTATACGGAGAGGGCGAAGAGGAGAAGGAGGCTGAAAACCGTAAAGTATCGGACTTCAAGGTGCACATAATTCCCTAGGACAACTTGCCATCTGACGATCTGCCTGTGTTCTCTTGAAAATTAACCACGGAATACTCACACCCGAACAGGAGAGCTACGAGATAGGCAGCGAGAAGCTCGATCTCCAGCCCAACGTCTGGCTGCCCGAAGAAGTACTGCCCGGCTTCCGCGCCTTCATGACGCAGTTCTACTCGAGATGTTTCGACTCGGCTAAGGAGCTGCTGCGCGCGCTGGCGATCGGCGTGGGTCTTGAAGACGAAGACTTCTTCCTGCGCTTCCACAGCGGCGTGAACAATCAGCTGAGACTGCTCCACTACCCACCGGTGGATGCAGAAAAGCTGTCGAGTAATATGCTTGCTCGTACGTATACGGACGGTACCGCTTCTTTGACGAGACACTGACTCCAGGGTGATAGGAATGCCGGCACACACTGACTGGGGAACCATCACGATGCTATTCCAAGACTCGTGCGGCGGCCTCCAGGTGGAGGACCCGGTTGTGCCGGGACAGTTCGTTGACGCTACGCCGATGAAGAATGCGTTGATTATGAACGTTGGTGACCTACTGATGAGATGGAGCAATGGTGCGTCTGACTCTTCCAACCCCCTTTTCCATTTTTCAGTCCAACCAACTCGTCTTCCCCTATCCTCTCTCGCCTCGACCTACCTAGCCCTCACCAAAACCTTCGCTCCTCTGCTCCTCGCTAAAACGTAGTTCAAAGACTACCTGAAATCCACCCTCCACCGCGTGATCCTCCCGCCCATCCAGACGAAGACTCGGATTTCAGAAAAAGGGGAGGGCAAGGTTATGACGCAAGCGCGTTACTCGATCCCGTACTTCGTGTCGCCCGACCCTGAGGCCGTCATCGAGTGCCTGACGGCGAACGTGGGCGGCGAAGATATCCCGGCCAAGTACGAGCCGATGGTACAGGAAGATTACCGGCGCATGAGGGCGAGGGGGCAGTATGTGGAAGCACCATCTGCGATGACTTAGTGTAGGGGTTCGAGAGAGTCAAACGTGAGGGGAGCGTTCCTAGGAGATGCCAGAGATGGGACCTAGTTAGTCAGCTGATTATATCACGCATCGTGCGACCTGGGGGAAAGAAGAAGCGTGATGCCAGTTTAATGTATGATCCCCATTTCCCGATAGAGCCGTCCGTAGATAACTATCCCGAGCACCGAAGGCAGAGAGCTAGCGCCAGAAGTCGCGTATATCAAGGCTATCACGCACAGCAGCAAACCAGCCCTCGACTGAAGACATCTGAACGCAGTGGAAAGGTTCCTATGTCGGCAAGCTACAGAGTCGAGAGCCATGGTCATATTGATGGCCCCGGAAATGGATGTCTCGTACACCATAGTGTAGGAGTGAGAGAGAACAGACTTCCACGCTGGCGTTTGGATCTTCGAGTATGGGGGTACGTACCTACCTCACTCACTCTGTGGGCAAGCACCAATGAGCAAACCCCTATTTCCCGGCACTTAGAGGGTGCAATACCCCAAGCAGGACAGTTCATGTCAGATGCCTTCTCGTCGTTACTTCCGCGCACATTATCACCAGCAGCTATGTCGCGGTTGGCATATGGTTTGCCCATCATTCTGATCATGTCAGATTATTTCAGGGCGTACAGACTTCGTCGTGTTCGATATCGAGCCTCTCCCGGACAGTCTCATATTGCCTCTCACTCCTGCTTCAGCCCGTCAAAGAGCACATGATTCAGCAAGTCCCGTTCAAGGACAGGAACAATGAGGGCAACCTCGCAGTGATTGACGTGTAATCGAGCGAGGAGAAACATGCTCGACTCCTTGGACCACGTCAAGACGATGTCTGGAGTCAGTTTGCCTCTGGGCCGGCTTCGTGCTCCGAGTGGAGTCCCGAAAAGCCAGCCTGTACTCGCGTAAGGGGCTAGGCGTCTCGGTAGATGCTGAGTACTGAGTATCGATGCGCTGCTGACGGGACGACTTAGTTCAGAGTCGAAGCCTACTTAAAATGTAACTTGTGACCAAACAAAAGATATTCCGTGTCGCAGTAGACTGATGAACAGTGAACACAGCACCTGCACGTCGGCATCTCGCCCGCAAGTCCCATCCATGGATACGGACCCCACCCCTGAACCCGAACCAATCAGCACGCAGCAAAGCCCGAAAACGAGCTTCCGCCAGGTCCCGCTAGGCGCCGGCGTGGGTTTACCGCCCTGCCAACGGCGCCTAGCGCCCTGCCCACCCTCTCCCCTACATTTCCAGCTCATGATTGGTGCTGCGTAACCAACCAAAGACGTCGTCAATTGATTGATTGATGGAGCTGAGGTTATTATTAGTAGCGGTGGCATGTCCCATCTGCAAGGCAACCTGAAGGGGAGAGGGAGGCCCAACAGGCGGCCCATTCGAAGCTGCATGTTGGTAGTTTCTTCAACAACTCCATCTACATTCCGCAACACTCAATATAGGAATTGTGTCTTTGATTCACTGAAGCATTCGAGCTTCAAGTTGACCGATTCTAGCGTGCCAAGCTATGTAAGTGCGGGGCTCCATCTTCCCTGTTCCTCTCGCAAGTGGTGGGATGGACGACGGACGATCCTTCAACCAAGCTCCTCGTCCACGACTGGAGCCTCAGCTCCCCAGCCGGATCATGACTGACATGGCAGCACCTCACAGCATCCGAATCTCCTCCTATCGGTAGCATAGCTGGACACAAACTCGCCCGAGCGACGCAGCGAGTGCGACAGCAGTCACCATGTCAGGGCAATACTATCCACGTACGTACCCATGATTCCCCGCGTAGACAGACAGACACACCGCCAGACAAGAAGCTGACGATGAATACACAGCGCCTCCCGGAGCCGGCTCAGGAGGTACGAGACTTCACCCTCACCCTCACCCTCTCCCTCTCCAGCCTCCAGAGCGCGAACAACGCACACGAGACTAACGCGCTCGCAACTCCAGGCCCCCAGAAGTCCTACCCACCGCCGCCGACCTCCCCGCCCGCGAACCAGACAAAGTTCTACCCGCCGCCGCCCGGCACGCCGGGCTTCGCGCCCCAGCAGCAGCAGCAGCAGCAGCAGCAGTCCCAACAAGGCTATCCGGCGCCGCCGCAACAGCAGCAGCACCAGCAGAACTACCCGCCACCACACCACGCGCAGAGCTATGGCGCCCCGCCGCAACACCAACAGAGCGTGTCGCCGCCGCCCAAGACAGGCACGCCCGCCTCGTACCCGCCGCCACCCGGCACGCCGGGCTTCGCGCCCCAGCAACAGCAACAACAGCAACAACAGCAACCCCAACACCCAGCACACATGACCCTGCCCCTGCGCAACAACGGCACCCTAACACCGCCAGGCGGTCCCACCGCGCCGCCCTACTCCGAGGCCGCGCCCAACAGCGCGCCCGACAGCTACCCGCAGGAGAAGCTGCCCCCACAAGCCGTGCCGCCGCCCAACATGTCGGCGGGCGCGCCGGCCTCGGGCCAGTTCTCGGGCGCGACGGCGACGACCATGGACGACGTGGGGACGTTCAACGGTGGGTCCTACCGCATCAGCCACCGGGACTGCAACACCATCGTGACGGTGCAGCTGGCCATGGGGTGTCCCTTGTCCGCCAAGCCGGGCGTGCTGATCGCCATGTCCCCCACCATCACGCTCAAGGGCGAGTACAAGTTCAGCATGAAGAAGCTGGTAGCGGGCGGCGGCGAGTTCGGGCACTCGACCTTCGTCGGGCCGGGGGAACTACTAATCGCGCCCAGCATGCTGGGCGACATCACCACCATCCGCCTTGCCGATGGCAGCGGGACCGGCGAGACCCCCTCGTCTTGGAGCGTCGGCAAGGACGCCTACGTCGCCAGCACCCAGGGCGTCGTGCGCGACTACAAGCGCCAGGGCCTCGGCAAGGCCATGTTCAGCGGCGAGGGTCTGTGGGTCCACAAGATCAGCGGCGTCGGCCTGCTGTGGATCACCAGTTTTGGGGCTATCATCCGCAAGGACCTCGTCGACGGCGAGCGCTACATCGTCGACAACGGCCACCTCGTCGCCTGGAACGTCAAGTACGTCATGGAGCGCGTCGCGAGCGGCGGCATCATGGGCGGCTTCGCCAGCGGCGAGGGCCTGGTCTGCAAGTTCACCGGCCCCGGCACCGTCTTCCTCCAGACGAGGAATCCGGTAAGTTGTTCCCCAAACCCCTCTCCTTTGCTCGCTCAGAGATGTTGGGCGAGACTGACTGACTGACACTTGATGCAGAGAGCTTTCAGCGCGTACATGACCGGCAACGCTGCGCCGCCCTGAAGCGGGCGGAGCGGGCGGAGCGGGCGGAGTGGGCAAGATATCCGTACGACTTGTTGCCTAAGGCTAGGGTCCATTTCATTACGTGACGGAATCACGAGATCCGTGACTTAGGAAGGTATAGTTCCATCATGAAGGGTTACGGCATACGGCATGTGGCACGTACGAGCCTCAGCGGGCAACGGCAATTGCTTCCTTGGCAGCCGTACTGGGGTTTCGAAAGTTGCCAAGAGATGGCAGCTGGGATATTGATGACGATAGGATTTTCAGCTGCAGAGCGAGCGTAGGCGTCTTTTACACACTTGCCCCTTATGTCAAGATGCGATTAATTGAGACCACCTCATGTGCCATGCCACGCGTCCAGATCCACGGAAATATAGTCTGTCCCACTTGTGTGAGAAAGGTGTGGTTCTGACAGGTTCCGTGTTTGCAGGTTGATGTGCTACACGACACAGAGAGTTTCTCGAAATGACTTACTGTCCTGCGACGGTCGGTCACGAGGAACACAGTACAGTCAGATCGGCTCCTAGGATTCCCCTTCGCGGAGGATTCGTCCTTTTATGTGCGAGGGTGCCACAGAGTAACGCCACGGCAGACCCCTTGTGCGGCTGTGTGTCCGTTGCCCTCGTCTGGGTAGGTCTATGCGGCCCAGGGTCCGCTCCTACATGACCTGCTCGCAAACGAGGCTCTGTCTGGGTCCGTTTGTCTTCGTAGTAAGCCGGGATTCGAAGCCGGTGGTTGCGTAGACGCCAGCGACGAGCCTGCATGCATGGGTGGCTTCTCTATGTGCGTGGAGGTTCGCAAGTGTGTTCCTGCAGGGTCCAAGCGAACGCGAGCGGTCCAGTGGGATATTTATCATGTCTCGGCCGAGACATCGGATCAGGGAAGAACTCAACGAATCGAAGAAACAAATGCAACGAAATGTAGGTAGATAGGTACCCACCCAGAGGCACGTTGGGGGACAGGAATGGCATATATGCTGAGCACGTGCTCAGGAAACATAACTTGCTCTGATATCTCACCGCAGGTCTCTGCAATACGGGTTAGTCAAAAAATACAAGGCGAGTGTTTCTCAACGTAGGTAAACAGGCGGCCTAGATGCGTCGGCCAAATTCGGGAGGGAAGGATCAAGCGCTGATATAGAGTTGAGGTGTGGCTCGGGCCGAAAGTGCAGGCACATGCCCAACACCCCAGAGTTCTGCACACTCCCAGTGCCATTCCAGGCCGTGTTGCGGGCATGGTCTGAACACACTGGAGCTTAAAATAAACCAAAGTCGAGATTGTCAATGCAGCCACATAATCTTGATGGGCAGCATCGCAGCGCCTTCTTTACGAAGCTGTGGTTGGGCGGGATGGATCGGGCCGTTGGACCAGAGATGTGCGACATGTCGCCTAAGATGGAAGCTTCCCTGGTGCAGACTGGTGCGGACAGCTCACAACGGACCAGGACGATGGTAGCTTCGAACTATGAGAGCTAGGTTGAGCTCAAAAATGGCGATGTGGAAGAGTACAGCAGTAAGCATGACTGCTCATCCACTTGATGTCGAAGGCAGATGGATTGCTGCCCTCGTAGCCGGTCAATGAATGTTGGTCAGCCCACGTCTTCATGACGTTTCATTGGTCGACTGGAAGCATTCGGGCGGCGCGTACGTGTGTCAACAAAGCACTACGCCTCACGACTCCAGCCGAGTCGTAGGACAGAAAAGGAAGCTCGATATTCACAACGGGCTTCAGCCATGCTTCTCCCAGTTTCCCCCGTCAACTCAGGAGTCTCCGGTCATTTGTCCACTAACCACACTGGAACGCTTTCGTACCAAGATCTCAGCGTACTTCTCTTGCTATGCACGGTGCTTTGGTGTATCTAGCATGTTCGGGGTCGTTTCAGTCGGGTTTTCTTGAAGAATATGTATGCTGACGAGACGTGTGGCCGCAGCAATTTGGTAAGGTATGTGACCGCGTCTCGGGAGGTCTGTTGTTCCGACGCCATCAACCTCAGATCCTCAGCATACGGATGCTGGGTGATACCGGTACATTGCTGCTGGAGTGGCTGCGCCAAGAACTGTCAGCGTTCAGCGGATCTTATACGAGCCGTGCAGGGTCGCTCTCGAGGGACGTGCGGTACCCTTGACCTGCCAACCAACGTCAACCTCACCTCAAGTTGAAGTTACATGGCAGTGGCAGAAGTATGTCAGCAGACGTTCGGTCTGGTAGTCGGAGTTTGGCTCTTTAACGGCTGACGTTCCTCAAGGACCTTGACCTCTGAAGTTGGCCTGCCCCATCCTTCACGGAAACACTGCCCTGAAACAATCGGTGCTCCGCTCCTGTTAATATACGCCATCAGGGTGGCATCGTGCAGTAAGCCCTGGTCATACCTCATAAGGCTGACTCTCCTGGGTGAGGTTAACTCCGTCGGCGATACAAGAGTGCGGGTACGGACCGGATATGGTGCAGTTCGATACCCCAGATCCGAAGTAGACTCCTCTTTTCCTCACCTGTTACCTCGTTATTCAACATGCCAGCACCAAAACCCGAGCTTCGCGTACGGCGGTATCATAGCAGGTCCCGGAACGGGTGCTTCACCTGCAAGTTGAAGCATGTTCGCTGTGATGAAAAGAAACCGCTGTGGTATGCAGAGCCCACTTCTATCTTCGCTGGGTAGGGCTCGTGAATAGGGACATGATGGCTGCTGCAGGCGATCGCAGCTGCTGGTTGAACGTAGGGCTGCTGATCCCATCCAGAGTCCTGCTGGCAACCATCTCGGGTCCCAATGGCAGAAGATGGCATACGCATAGGATGTGCTTGCTAACCTGTCGATAGTTCCAATTGTCTGGTCAAGGGCGGTCAGTGCGGATACGCAGATGCGAAGTCGAGTGTCTGCGAATCGTCCCCGGTATCGTGTAATGACAGCGTCTTCTGGCATGTGGAAACGAGCATATTGCACAATCCAATGCCAAGCCACATCTTCGTCGGGTACCCCATCGAGATGGCAGATGAATCAAGGTTCTTGTTCGATATTTGTGAGTCACCCACGTGGCTTCGTGTTCATGATGCTGCAGTTTGGAACATACGATCAGAACACTCACCTAGGCCTTCACTTTCCAGTTACCCGATATCGAAGCGTGGCCCGAAAAGATGGGGAATCGCCGTCAGACTCTTTCGTGTTAGTTAATAATGACATCAACATGTCCGCCTCTTCTTTTTTGACTGACACATGGTTGCGATAGGATTGATCGTGCCTTGTCAAACCCGGCGTGTCTGCATGTCGCCCTTTTGATGTCTGCCATCAAGTACACGTGGGACACTGGATCGATGACTAGAATCCGAAAGTCTTTTCTCCATCACAAGCTGGAAGCCATCAAATTCGTCAATGAACAGCTGCAGGACCCGAGTTCCGCGTTAACAGATTGCACGGTAGCAAGCATTGCTGCTTTGGCATTAGCAGAAGTGTGTATTTCCTGGCAGGGGCAGAGTACATGCTCCAGCAGCCTTCAAAAAAAGTGACTAACATTTGGACCAGAGTGCATTGGGTTGCCGAGATACAGCCAAAGCCCATATGGGCGGCCTTGCTCAGCTCTTAGGCATGCAAGAAGACGACATGATTACCGACGGCAACATCTTCCAGAGCCTGGTCATCCTGTTAGTCATGAAACGCCCTTGTTCTCGACGATGTGGTGACTGACTTGATCGTGACTGTCAGAACGTCTAGGGGGACCGGTAAATTGACACTCCGCGAGCTCTTGTCTGCCACCCGAACAATCGAGAATCAAGAATCGCTCGGGTTGACTACATTCCGTGCGATTGGAGACAGGTTTCACGGTACGGCGGGTAAGAGTATTGAGAACAGCGACAGAACCGTTGGCGAAGCCTTAGAGGAAGCGTCGGATATACCCACGGCGCTTGGACTCAAGCCGGCGTTACCACCGTCCAATGCCGTGAGTCGCGCCCGTCTGATGAGCTGCTACCTTTGTATCTTCGCGATCCTCGGAGCCAACGACGTCGATCCCTTCATGCTCAACTGGCTCATCGAGTGGATGTTATCCGACCTCTGCCACGAGGAGGACGCGATGCGACAAGGCACCTTCCCTAGGCAAGTCTGGTTCTGGGGCGCTATGATGGCGACCTGCGCGGTGTCGACGGCGAGGCCGAATACCGCTCTCGCGGTTCGCCAGATTGAGGAGTGGCGAGAACTATGTCATGAGAAGATTCGACTGGTTAGCCATCAACTGAACGTCAGGACTTGGGAGCAGGCGAAGAGGGTCTTCGTTTCGTGGGTTTGGCGGGACGACTTCGACGAGGAACAACAGGTGAAGGAAATGTGGGAGGAAGCGGTGTACGGGAAGCGGATCGCAGTGAATCGAACGGCGTCGCCGAGCTGCTTCGACCGACGAGATTTCATGTCAGCAAGGGACCGAGCAAAGTCCATCGTTCGGGCTCAGGTTGTCCATATGAGAAGGCTGATGCTAATCTGATCGGGCACCTGAGGTCACGTCATGTCGCGGAAGCAGTATGTTCCTCTCCTTGGTATATGGCTGCACTCCAGCTGCAGGTGGCCTAGAGATCGCAACACCCTGCGGAGTCGTCAAGGCCTCGAAGGTGTTGAGGTAGGTAGTAGGTAATATGGCTCAGTGCAGGTGGGAACATGCAATTGTGTTGAAGGCACACGAAGCCTCCAATGTTGGAATATTGGAAGATACGTTCGATGGAACTTGTAAGCAAGCATACCGTATGTACATAAAGCATATTCAAGTACCGAAAGGTGTCTGCAGTTGGCTTGGCCTTGGGCCTCTACGGAGGTGGTACCTGAAACTACTGCGACAGTGGCAGCACAAACATGTTCCCTTCTTGTTAACTCCCAAGTCCAAGCAAGCTTTGGCCTACCTAGGTATTTATCGGTACCTACCTGTACGCAGGCAGGTCGCCACTGCCAGCAGACCTTCGACTTCGAAACTTTGATGTTCAGGTAGTCAGGTGCACTCTGGCATGTAGTTGCCTCATCGTTGTTTTTCTTTGCGAACTGAGATCCTGATACATGTAGCTGGGCCTTCATTTGTGTGCCCCCCTGGCGCGAAATGGAGGTAAGTCCCAGATTCCAACATCCATGCTGCTCGTTGTCACCCGGTCATACAACTTCTTCTGCTACAGTGTTAATACCGGCAGGCCTGTATGCGTCATGGTCAAGAATGCGGTAAGCCTGCCAGAGGTACACCATATCTGGGCCTTGCGGAGGAGGTAGAGCAGCCTTTGGCCCATCACAGATCACCACATTGAACTCCGAGGAAGTGCCTTCGCAGCAATGAATCCGGCTCCATAATCCAGCACGCTGCTCTCCTCTCGTATTCACAGCCAGCAGCATGCCCCGATCCTCACAAGTCTAATGCCGCTCAACCCGGGAAACCACAGCAGAAGTTCCCCAATACGGACTAGACGCCTTCTCATCTTTCCCAAGGAGTTTCCCGGGTTTCCAAAAACGCACAACGAACATGATCGAAGAAAGGATCAAGACCCATGGCGACTAGCAACAGCGACAGTCACGAACATTCCTGTTGGAGCCATGACGTCTATATACCACTTCACTCCGGTATGCCATACTCCTAGACTAGGCTAGACGACGCCTGCTGTGCAGCTCTGATCTTCTCCGGGAGAGACATGCGGTCAACGGTTCCCCTATTCCATAATTTCACAGAGATATTTGAGACCCCGACACATGTACAGTCCAGAGTACCTTTGGACGATCCCGTTCGTGCAGTGTGAGTTGAAGGTAGGTTTTTGGCCGACATGTTCCATGATCATGGCAGCTTTGTCTCTTCCCGGTATCTGGAACTTCACCCAGTGCCACGTTAGTCACCTCCTAGGTAACGACTCATATGAAGTGCCATGAGATGGCTGAACCATCGTTCCTTAGAAGATTCTTAGAAGATGGAGCTGCTTTATACTTTACTATCTCGTCTCTGTATATGATGCATGCTCAGTGGCTTGGGTTTCTTCCTCTGTTCGTTCAAGAATACCTTGGTTTCATTAATGAAAGGGGAGTCAATGGCCTCTGGTAAGTACCGATATAGTAAACATATCCGCCATGCTGTCGATGCACGTTAGCACCTGGCAGACTGTGGGTATCCGGCATGTCAAGTGGACCAGGGACACCCATCATCAAGTGGTTCACATCATATACTCTACAGTTTTCCTATCGTCTAGCCGCAAGTACAGAGTCAATTGAATAATACTACAGATGTGCGCCCTGCCCTTCAACTAGATTGTGGCAGTAGGGTTTAGAGACCTGGAACAAACGGGTGACCAACCTGAATGCACATGCCGACATGGGGGAGACTTACAGCTGCTTCTGATTATGCCACTGTCATGCCATTTGGAACTGCTAGTGGCATCTTTCTCACCTCAGGCAAAAACATCACGGGTACAGTCACGAGCACCTACGCGTACTGCATCAAATGGTGCAAAAGTTGTTCACCCTCATCCCGATCATCTATCTCTTCAGACGCGCTGGAGAGAGATCACTTCTACCAAACACAACATCTCGTGCATCTTTTTCACAATCATCCCGTTTCCTGCCCCACATCCACATCCACACCTCGATATCTCCTGCCCGCATCGCGTCAATCTAACATCCGGGGTACCTGCGCCCTAGCCCTGCGCATGAGAGGAAACCGCAGTAGCTCCCATCCAACAGCAAATAGAAGGTGTCGATTCCCGAGGTACCATCCCGAAAGGTGCGGCCGAGGGACAGAAGTTCGGTTGGCGCGGGTCTCCTTGCGCGTCCTCGTGGGGCTGTGCCATTGTTCCATCTCCCCATTCTCCATTCAGCACCAAATACAGCATCCATCCTCGGCGCCATCGAGCTTTTTGGATTGCCATTTTTGGAACTTGGTCTCCATTGTCTGCACAATACCTTACAATATCATTCACCCCTCCCAATCCCATTGTCCTCGTTGAGCTTGGACCATCGAGAGATCACCTCCATCACCCCATCACCCACTATCTCCCAGTCTACTACTTAAGCACTCGACAGCTTTTGGAGCAACTTGGAAATAGCATCATCTCTCCACCAGATCTTCGAGCGTCCTTTTCCCAGCGTCTGCCTTGCTGTCAAGCGCGCATCGAACGAATACTCCGTCCACGCGAACCGAAGAGTATACCTTGTCCAAGTTCAAGCTGGGTTGTCATAGCGAGGTGCACTACCGACCTGAACCAGGTGAGTACCCCTAACCCAGCCCCAGGCCTTTCATCCATAGTTTCGAGATCACTCCAAGTATTTTGTTTGCTGACAACATGCATGCAGAACCAGCGATCTCATAAAGTAGCACCACTTGCTGCCTAAGGTATCCTCCGGTGTGGCATCGAAACCGCTTTCGGCGACCTAACCTTTCATATTTGGTAAGCCTTCGTACCTATTCTACCGTTTCCAATACTTCGACTTGTCTATTGCCGTACTCATACTCTGCTGCTTCAAGGTCCCGCACCGTCGTCGACAAAGACTTGACTTAGTGACTGAGGTGCCGACTCGTTCGGAACAGTTGCTCAGTATGTTCAGCGGTTCCAACACCAAGGCCGCGGCACGTGCCAAGGCAAAGGGTCTCAAAATCAACACCGAGATTACCGGCAACTCCGCCCAAGATGACGACAAGTTTGCCCAGCTCGCAACGGCCCCTCCCAGAAAGCAGACTTTCGATGCATTTGAAGCTGTTGCTGAGAAGCGAGGACTCTCAAAGCGGACCGAGGCTTTGATGAACAACAACTGGAGAGACAACCGTCGAAGCCAAGACAGTTCTGAGGAACATTCCACCCCTCTAGCAACCGCGCCTCCTGCGAAGACCGCATTTTCTCAGGAAGAGACGCAGAAGCCAAAGCCCCAGCTTCGTGTCGATACCTCTCTTGCCAACGATACGGGCTACCGTTACGCAAACCGACATGTCGTCGATCCCGACCTGATCTTCTCCGCACCAGCCACTAGAGACGAGTTTGTTGACGTGCTGGACAAGGTCGAGCCCCAATCTGCTTCGACGGACGATGGAGATCTGCGAGACTGGCAACTTGTCACAAGCCAGCACCTGCCTAAGCCCAGCTATCGTAGGGAGAACCCATGGGCACCCACTCCCACCACCCATGCGGGCTTCGACAGAATCATAAGTTGGGGCCCCTCTCACGAGGAGCCGTACTTTAGCTCGAGCCTATCCAGCCCCCGCCCGCCTGTTGGATATTCGGAAGAGCATGACCTGAGCTTCCCGCTCGCGCGTATTCACGTGATCAAGGAGTCCAAGAGACTTCACACGGACGAATTCGACGTCGACTTGGCGCTTAGAAAGCAACTGGAGCAGCTTGTCATCCCTCGCAGCGCAGGCCTTCCACCCAACAGACTGCGCATCGAGTATGAGCGTGGTCAAGAGGCCTTGGCTAGAAAGGCTGCTCATGACGAATCTGCTTCGAAGAAGAAGGGAGGTGGCCAGGACGGCACAGAGGTCTTAGCCCCTGGCCAAGATAACGAACGATTCCATGCACTGCTAGGTCGACTGCAGAAGTCGGCCGCCCACCGATTCGACAAGCTTCGGCGTAAGGCTTCCAAGGATTCGGCAATTAGTGGTCTGTCGGACGAGACTGAGAGCCAGAAGAAGGCCAATACGCTGAACCCTAAGGCCATCGAGTTCTGTAGCACGGCTTTCCAACCCCAGCCCCAGCCCCAGCGACCCGCGACTCTGGATGGTGGCTCCCCCACCAGGTTCAACCGACCCTCGGTGATTGAAGCTATTAGAGAGCCCCGACCGGCGCCGACCCATGAGGACATAGAAGCCCTTCGTTCCCAAATGGAGGAAATCAAGGCACAGCTGTATGCTGCACAGCTGGACGCTAGAAGATCAGCAGAGCAGAATGTTGCACATAGATTTGCCAGGGTTCCGCAGGGAAACTTCGGCATGCAGGCTCCTATGCAGCAAGCTCTGATGATGACCGGCCCAGCTATCGAGCCTCAGATGGGCAGATTCGGAGAACACCAGGGCCTAGGCGGATACCCTACTGCTCCGCCTCCAGGCTTTGGTCCGATGCCCAGTCCTCCTCAAGTCATGTCGAACGGCGTTCCGGGTATGCAGCTTGGGCCCCAAAGCAACACCATGGCACCGTCGGGTCCTTCCAGCTATGCGCAGCCCATGCCCAACGGTGCCCTCAACATGAACATGCCTGAGCCACACACCGGCGTTAGAGCCCCCATGGTGGATCCCGCGTTCGCTCAGGCCATGGCCGGCAACAAATACGGCAACAATTACGGTAGCGCGATGCCCGCTTCTGGTTACGCCGGCGGCCAATTCAACAACCAGATCCCGCAGATGGGAGCACCTGGTTTCCCCATTGCGAACCAATCTCAACCGTACAACCCACCTGTTGGATGCCTCCCTGGCACCACGCAGTTCTGGGCCAAGACGGCATTCGGACCCAAGCCCGTCCCGAAGCCGAAGGGACCTCTGTTCCCCGGCGACACGAGCCAGTGCATGAAGCAGCAGCAGTACGAGGAGTGGCTCGAACACTGCCGCGCTACTGATCCGGCTTATGCCATGAAATGCAAAGAACGCCAGGCCCGCCGCGCCGCGCGTTCGCAATCGCAGCGCTCTTCTGGTAACGACGGGCAGACCGGGGCGCACTCCACCTGGGCCGGACGAGCTGCCACTTAGGCGAGTGGCGACAGCAAGACTGGCCACACGGGTGGCGAAAAGGCCGATGAGAAGGCCGGCGAGAAGACCGACGAGAAAACTGACAAAAAATCCGACAAGGAGCCTGTTGAGATGAGTGACGAGGAAAAGACTGGTCACACAGATAGCGAGGAGACTGAGATGAACTGTGACGACCAAAAGAACGAGGAGACCAGCGAAAAGGCATGATTTCCGATTTACACTTTGCATTATACCACCCATTGCCTGGACAGGACAGAGTCCGAGGCGATACCAGGTTGCATGCTTTCCAGGCCAGATGTGGTCCTTGGTGGCATTCGCATGACGAGGCAGAAGGTCTGCTTTCCGCCATGCCACGACACGACCTAACGAACACAAAAAATGACGATGATGCCGAGACGCCGATTGATGGTGATTTCATGAGGAAGGGAGGGAGGGCATGATGACATACATGCATCGCTTTGCAGATTTGGTGGATATACCCCTCGCCCCCGTTGCCGATGGCATTGTATCCGTTTACTTCTTTCTTTCGGTTTCTGTTTTTCTTTTTCGTATTCACAAAGCTTGCGTTTGATGGATAAATCAAGCGAGCAGATTTGGCCAATGAGTCTAGGTTAGGTCGTCTGCCCACCCATCACATACGTAGGTAGCCATTGCATTTTCTTAGTAGGATCGTGTTGATCGATCATCATCCCCGAATACCAAAACCTTTGCAATAATAAGTTTCTTTATGCGTTGTATTGTGTGACTTGCTGCCTTGTGTTGAGATTGCGGGGTGGGAATGCATCATGACTGGACTGGAGGTTGTCGGCGTTGAGATGGTGAAGATGGTGAATGGTTGAAAATGGGGGTGGATAACGTGGGTCTGAAGGTCGTCAGGGGATTCAGGGGAACTTCCATTTTCAGCCTTCCGTGGCGCGTCGGCGCGCTCGAGCTCGCCCCGCTCCACCTACCGTCGTTGTCTCTGCTCCTGGCCATTCAAGGTACTAGATGCGGTGCCCCCATATTCTAGGTATTGACGGATAGAGCTAAATGAGGGTACTCGGAGGATGGTACCATCGTCTTCATAAGGCGAGTAGTTTTGATATGCGACCGTGGTATACCGTATACTGTCCCCAGCTATCTCCGATAGACACTCCACTAGCTTTCCAAAACCTGCAAATGTCTCAACGCTCGGAGCTTGCAAACCAAGTAACCAACGTTTCCTCTAAGTTTGCATTAATTCAAATAAGATGTTACGAACCAACGAACAGTGCGGCCTGATAGCAGGCCTAGAAGGGACGATTGGAAACAGATTGACCAGAGAGTGGGGTGCTGATCAGTGGTGAGATCGGAGCAACAGAGCAACGGTACACAGATCACGCGACCAGCAGAGCCTGGGTCACGTGACTAAGAATTTAGATCACTGGATCACCTTGGATCACCGGTGATCCAGGGTGAGCCACCTAATCAGTGAGGGAGAGATTGGATATATAAGGACAGACATTTCCCAACCAGATAGATAGACAGTCTCTACCTTAGTGATCAATCTAAGCATCTTAGCCAACCCTAAGGTGGGAGAAATCTCCTGACGACTCGACTACACAGTGAACCCAGTTCAGACCAAGCCCTAGCATCTGAGTGTCTTCTAGTTGATAGAAGCCTCTATCGTCCTTTGTGTTGACTTACCTCAGAACATAAACCCTATAGAACCTTTTAGCCTTCTAGGTTAGACGGCTCGTCACATAAGATCTACTGGTGGACGAAGGGCGTGGTCTAATAGGTGGTTATAGTTAGGTTCCTCTTCATACTTGAAGCAAACTAAGCTACACTTAGCACTTATTAGTTATCACTTATAAGTTTTTATAAGCGCTATTTAAATAAGATTTTATATTACGTAGTAATTTCGAGATATTAAAATAAGTATATAAATATAAATAGTTATAATTTATACTATTATTTCTACTTATTTAAATATTTATTATAATTTAATATTACCGGTATACAAAGACAAATAAAAAGTATAATATACTGATTTATTATATTAGTTTATTTAAAAAAAAGATTCCTATACCTTAAATATAATACCTTTAAATGTAATAGTTTTTTAAAAATATGTTAAGAGACTAGTAAGTCTACTTTAATATAATATAATATAGTATAGTATTTAAATATAAATTAGCCTTATTAAATATATTAAATAATAACAGTAACGTTTATAATAACCGCTTATACCTTTAAAGCTTATGATCCTTTTAAAGGTCCTATATAATAACGTTTTTTAAAAATCTATAATTAAATTTCTATTATGATTATTAAAAAGATTAATTTATAAAATAATCACACAATAAATCTTATCTTTTTAATTATTATACAAAAAGGCGAATATAATGGTTAAAGAAACCGGCGCGATATTACACTTTATATAAATTTATAAGCATATAAAAGGATAATTAAAGCAGAAATATTACGGTAATAAACGTTAATATACCATGATTATTAAGTAAGATGAAGCTTTAAAATATTTGAATGCTAGTAAAAGTATTAAAAACCGTTAATAACAAAAAAAAAAGGTTAACATAAGCTTTATAACGGCGTAAAAAACGACGATTAAAATTATAATAGAAACAAATCTATTTATTATAAGGAAAATAATAAAAACATCCTTTTTACTTTTTTAAGTATAAAATTAAAAAAAAATAAACAGGTTGAAAAGGCATAAAAAGCGAAGCTTAACTGCCGCTTTATTTTTAAAAAGCTTGAAACTTTATAAACATAAGCGATTATTTTGAAAAAGGAAAAAAAACCTGTTAGATAAATTAAAAAATATGTACGCGTTTAAATAAAATGCGATACATATAAACAACCTTTTAATAAAATATTAAAAGCTTTACTAAGTAGTAGAAAATAAAACTTTAAAATTTTACTACTTTTTGTCACAATACAAGACCATATCATGGGGTCGAGAATGGAGTGTATTGGTTGCGTGATCTAACTTCGGTCCGTGGGACGAATCTCAGTACTAAATACAGTGTAATCCTGAAAGACTGGCCCATCCTTAGATCTGACTGTCAACAACTCCTTGTCTATCACCCTTGAAAGCCCCTGAATGGGGTCTTTTGTTGAATGGGAGCCGGAGATAGACACCGGAAGATCTCCAGTTGGGCAGAGACGCACAGGGCATCTGACCCACCAAGAAGACAGAATAATCAATCTCTGTACGCAGAACAAAACAAGCAATAGCATTAATCAATATCCATGTATTCAACAGTTAAGAGTCTCATTGAATTTACGCAACCGGCATCTATATTTCGAATACACGTATTATACAACCATTTTAAGATGAATATCACAATTCCAACACAGAACGCAACTGCGTACTATCGGTCTTGAAAGGACTTTGTCAGCTGGGGACTCCAATTTCAGAAAAGGGCTGAAGCACTCGGCATCTGGCAACATATCGAGCCAGGGGTAACTACTCTATGGCCAACAGCACCAACGCCTCCTAGTATCTTATCAGAAGAGTATTTAAAGAAGTCTATCAGAAATTCTCAAATAGCAGTGGAGAAGGGACGAGTCCTCGCTTCACACCTTACAACAGAAGGAGCAGCTGACTTCAAGATGAACGTCGCCCTATTTGAGCACAAAGACAAGATCTATCAGCAAACCAAGACCTCCATATCCGAACTTACCAAGTGGACTCTTGAAACCGTCAATCCTACCACACAGGAGACCAAACTACTCTCTGAACAAAACCTCCGTCAGTGGTACCAAGAGCTCGCAACTAAAGGAGCCATCTACAGTGAGAACATCATGCACCAGGCCCAAGTCAACTACCGTGTCATTATATCAACAGTCAACAAAGGGGTACAGAAAAAGAAAGAAGGATTTTATCAGCTAGCTTGGAGTAAGAGTTGGTTATAGCCAGAGCTATGAAAGCCAGGGTCCCTAAGGCTCTATCTCCAGCAACCTGATTTAATGACTTCATAGTTGCTGTTGCCTTGATGAACTCCAATTGGTCTTCTCAAGCCAGGGCAAATAAGAAGGAAAGAGTGCTTGAAGACAGTATTTCGTACTCCCAGATAGCCTCTGACCTCCACAACGACTGGATCACAACGCGCGACATTACCAATTTTTCGAAGGGATAGAAAGCGGGTTTCCCAGCCCTTCATAGAGAACAGCCTTACGATACAGGAGACTTGATTAAAGACAAAAAAGAAAAGGAGCATCCTCAAGAGCAATCAGACGCAAGAGGCAGAGGCTGCAGTAGAGGAAACAACAACCAGAGACAGCAAGGGGGCTCAAGAAGTGGATCAAGAGGAGGTTTTAGAGGAAGAAGTCAGGGAGCTTCTGGCAAAAGGGGTCGAGACAACGAAGAAGCTCCCTCAACCACTCAAGTATGCAAGGGATGCCATTGTAAAGGGCACCACTTCACAGAGTGCTTTTACCTCTTCCCAAACAAGCGACCAAATGGATGAAAAGTCCACCACAGTGAGGAGCGAATGGTCAAGATACTGCTTGAAAAGGACAACAATCTATCTGAGGAAGTGGCACGAATTTCCAAGAAACAGATATGTAAAACACTTATGCGACCGTCAACCAAGCCAGGTAGCATCTTGTCTATCGACTTCCTTGACCTTGAGAAGGACTCAGATGGCTACTGGAGTATCATGTTTGTCACTTATAGATACTCTGGATACGTGTGGACATACTTCCTAAAAAGGAGAACTACTGAACACATAGTTGGCGCCCTCCAAAGCATTGTTCGTATACTAAAGATACAGTTCTAGATCGACGTTGAGGCCATAGAAGCAGACAACGAGTTCGCTAAGTCAAAGGACATTAAGGACTTCATCAAAGACAACCACATCCGAATCGAGCCCTCTTCACCTCACACCCAAGACCAGAATGGAGGCGCTGAGCGCTTGGGGGGTGTCATCAAAACAAAAGCTCTTGCTGCGCAGCGGAGCCAAGCTTTCAACATATCTCTGGCGTCACATTTACACTGCAGCAGTGTATCTCCACAACCAAACACCATCCTGGCACCACAATTGGAAGACTCCATACGAGATGTTCTTCTAATATCTGTCATTCCGAGACGGCCTAGTTACCCCTGACTGCAGGCCAATGCATGCACACCTACGAGCGTATAGCTGTAAAATATTTGTGACGACTACCGCCGCACAGAAAAAGAAGGACCGCCACAAGAAGCTGAACCCTAAAGCCTGGGT